TGCTCACGTTGATTGGTTGAACAGGTAGCGCTACTCGTGATCAGTTAGAGTAGCTCTGTGCTCCACTTAGCTGCTCTAAGAACAGTGGCAGGTGGAATACGAGCGAGGGCAGCATGAGACACATTCACACAAGAGTAGCCTTGATGTCAAACTCGCAACATTTACCTTGCCATGGTACAAACGCTACAAAGTAGCCAAAAACTTATTCTTTACATCAAAAACATTGTTTTTACGTCAAACACAAATCGGTACACTTAAAGGGCAACTCGGCTTCATTTTTGATATTTAGAAAACTATGTAGCCCTCTTCAGTATCATATAGGAAGACCCCATGTCAAATATTACGATCTAATTCCGTCTATATATTTAATAAACTGGCCAGCAAACCTTCAAGCGAGCCAAGTCGCCGAGATCTGCCAACTCTAGCGTGCAACGTGAGGCGCAATCGTCAGCGCACTCAATGCGACGGAGTTGGAGCGGCCAACGTTGAGCCACTACGTCAGAGGCATGACTACGTCATTCTCACGTTTTGTTTGTTTTTACTTCTCAGAGCAAAATTGAACGATGACATCATGAGTTTCTCCTCCCGGTGTTGGCTGAACGGCATCCACGTGATCACCGTAACACGGATGTGCTAGTTTGCGCTGCCCTGCGTGCTTATCGGTCGGTTTCTCCGCTCCCCCTCTCCTCTTTCGTCTTCTCCCCTTCCCCCTCTCCCCCGGGCAATCACCATCCACGCCATGCGAAGTGACCTGCCCGCGTCGCGTGTCCCGTCCCTCGCCCCCACGAACATCACAAGACCACGTGGTTCGACGTGACGTGGCCATGACTCTGACGGCACGAGACCAATGTTGCCTGACGCAACCGAAGTTTCGGTTTTGGTATGAGCTGATGTTTAAATTAAGATTAGTCAAATAATATTCCACATTTTGCGAATCTGAGGACGTAGAGCTGTTTAGTAGTGCTTTGTGAAATGGAATCACATGTAAGCCTAAATTTTTCGAAATTGAGCGGAGTTGCCCTTTAATGGGTTAATTGAGTCATCTGGAAAATTACTGATGTATGATTGTTCAATAAATGAATAAAAAAAAAGTGAAAGCCGTTTACAACTTCCTGTAACGCCGAATTGGAGCGCAGCTCTTGAGGAGGAGGAGTGGAGGGTATATTCCTCCTCCTCCCTCGTGATCATGCCTGCTAGTCCTCCTCCCCTCCTGCTCCTTCTCCCTCTCCTTTACCCCTCCCCCCGAGGTCACGTGACCCCCCGGACCATACTAGACAATGAGGGGAGGAGGAGGAGGGGGAGGAGGAGGAGGGCAGAGGTCCGGGGGGTCACGTGACCTCGAGGGGACGGGATCACATGACCTTGGGCGGGCCGTCACGTGACTTCGGCGGGGGGAGGGGAGTCACCCCCGGGGTCACGTGACCTTGGCGGGGGAGGAGGAGGAGCGGAGGGGGAGGAGGAGGAGGGGGAGGGGCGACGCCGACGCCGCACAGGCTGGAAACGGGTCATGTGACCCCCTCCCCCCGAGGTCACGTGACCCGCCCGGACCATACTACACAATGAGGGGAGGAGGAGGAGGAGGAGGGGAGGAGGAGGAGGAGAGGGAGGGGCGCGGTTACGCCGACGGCGACGCCGACGCCGCTCAGGCTGGAAACAGGCCCCTAAGAGCTGCGCTCTAATATCTGTAGTGGTCAAGTCCCCTGTAGGTATGATACCTTAAATAGTCTCCCAACATTCCAACAACTGAAGTTTTAAGTTTTTTCCACAGGCTAACTTTTAAAGATATCATATAAGAATTTTTGTCATGAAAGCTGAATATTGTTTGCTTCAAAAGTGGGAATCTCTGCGCCAAAACCCGTTGTTCCCCCCTACGAAAACTGCTCCAGATCACTGTTTGTCAGTTCTGCCACTGCACTTATTTTGTTTCTTACGACCACCGCCAGGGTATTATTTCTGGCTTCTGGTTGGCCACATTCAAATTTGTGAAGACTCCCTGGAACACAACCAGCCCGCTTTCGGCCAATGGCGTTTTTTTATTTGCCTCCTATACTTCCCAATGAATGGCCAAACACCCTCTAAATATGGCTGTGGTGACGTCTATAACATAATTTAAAGTGTCCCATGTGCTCTTGAGGTCTAAAAATATGCCACGATACAGTTGAATTATGTAAATAATGCCGTCTTTGTTACAAAGACTGATGCAACCAGTTTAGCCACGCTAGACTAGTGCAACCAGCGTTCCCAGGACTATTTTTGACTGCCCACCAACTTGTGATAAAGCTTAAACCTACGTTAAAATTGGAACAAGAGTTATTTGGTTAGCCACGAGATTGTGGAACATAAGTCTCCCCAGTAAATTTAATTTCTTGACAGCCCTTGGAAACCATTTATCATCGGTGATCGGTGACCTTTGGCGGTGATCGATGGCCTTTGGGTGTGGTCTGGAAAGCGTTTAAGTACATTGTATTTAAAGTACTACTTTGGTGAGGTTTAGAAAACTTATACTTTACTTGAAGTACATTGTCTTAGTGTACTTGTAATTTACTTAAAGTATTTTTTTTTCTGGTACTTTCCAAGCAAACTACAACTCCCAAGTTTGGAAGTACATTCCCCAAATTCCTGTGACCTTTTTGGCGGGGTATAAGGCAGCCCCCTATAAAAACAGTGATAGACAAAGAGCACAAGAAGTGTCTTTTGGGCAAGCCAAGATCACTCTGTTATTTTTGACATCCACTGGCCAAACTTGTCTTGTCACCAACTTGGAACAACGTCCAAGCTGCTGCGTGGCCACAGGCTTCCACAGCAGCTTACCAACACGCTCGTTAGGAATATAACGTCTCTTTTATCATTCTCGGAAGGCAATAACCACACTACATACGTTGTGTAAAGTGCCGAGAAAGACATGAGGATGAGCGGGTTGGTTCGGGCAGTACCTTGCGCTCGGTGAAATTGACCTCTTTCAAGGACCACACACTCGCGTCCTTGTCTTTCCCAGTACTAGAGTACACAACTTCCGAGTATAACCGTTCACCAACTACTAATAAAAAAAATGGCATATGACAACGTGCTGTCATCTTTCGAAATTTCATCCGGCCATTTCTTTGAGTGAAGTAATGGTGGCTATAAAACCAAAACAATATAAGTGCTTTATAACTTATAAGGCACAAGTCCTAAGTTATAAGTTGACTCTGTTAAACAGTTTGTCAGCGAGAGTAAAACATCTACTCTGTGGCCACTTGACATCATCCCATATTTGCCGCCATTTCCCGAAATAACGGATGCACCCCCGATTGTCCCCAGGGCATTACATACAAAAACTAAAAAACACAAAAAAAACACTGTATAGAGGAATGAAAGGGCATCGTGAAAGATTGTGTTAAAAAGTTAAGTGTTAAGTTTAACACAAGTAATTTGATCATGTTAAAAGTTAAGTAGAGGGCATTTATTTTCTTTCTTGCTGACAAGTTTCTTTCAGTGAAATAGCTGCCAGAGGCATCGACAATGTCATTTTTTGTTTTGACGAAATAAGGTCTAGCTGGATATCGGCTCATAGAGAACGTTAGTTTCTCTTCATTATATTCTGATCCCAGTAATGTCATGTTCTCAAATTTTCACATTCTTTCCCAACCACTCACATCACGTCCTCACGATGTTGGAGCATTCTATGACGCATTGTAGTTTATTTACCCGGGCTGAAAAACACTGTTCTTGTTTCTCTGTAACTGGCTGTGCTTTACTTTGCAAGTACAGCATGTCCCCCCAAAAAATTTACGCGGTTTTTTTCACCGTAAAAATGAACCATGCAATTTTAGGGGCGCTGCACGCGCTTCAGGCGATATGGTCATGGAGGCTCGAAACAAGCTAGTCATTGCTGTTTTTTTTTTATTGTTTTTTTTTTTTCTGGCATAAAATGTTGGGACAGGCACTGCCAAATAAACAAATATTAATACGAGAGTGATAAAATTCGTTGAAGACCGCATTCAATGGCTAAAAGGATGGCACATATCTTGCACTTTAACAGAGTCGGAATAATCGCTTTGGCTCAGGCCGGTCTCTCTTGGACAGGCATCAGTAGGACATAGTCGTGGCATGACGCTGACGAGCTGTTCTCAGTCGTGAAACTGAAACTGGTAAGCGCATGTTGCGCTTTAGCCGAGCCCCGAGTAGTCCGGATTGCCCAGAGGATGCACAGCGCGACCATGAGGCACCGTCTCAGCCACGCGCTCCCAGTGGGCCTTTCACATTGCGGGATATTTTACTTAACCATACATTCTTCGTTTGCAACTTTGTCCAAATTTCGCACGGGGACAGTGAGTAACTTGGGCGTAATAACTGCCATCAAACTCTTTGGCACGATATGTATTTGGGTGGGTAGGATACTATGGTCAACAACAGGCTAAAGGGACCACGACATGAATTTTGTGCTAGAATAAGTGGTATGAGAATGGAAATTTTACTGCATAGGATTTTCGTTGATGGCCAATGAGTATGGGCAGTTGTCGTCACTCGCGAATGACCAGTGGCATGGTGTGCTTAAGCAGCATGCTGGAAGCTTGGAGTCCTAGCATCCCAAACATGTCACGAAAGTTGAAAAATAATTTGGTGGTACGTCCGAACCCCAGGGATGCTTCAGCAGGTGCTTTTCACCAGGCTTTGGCTGTGCATACGACCCAGTGTTATCAAAGACAGCGTGCACTGGAGGGGGAGCAAATGCCGGGTCCTGTCAGCCACTGTAGTGGTCATGCATTTGTGCCTTGGAACTGCTTAATGGTGGGGGAAGTGAGATCATCGGTGGGGGAAGTGAGAGCGTGGGTCGAGGAGAACGCCAGAATGAATCGCAAAGTGCTTGACTCTGTGTTACTTAACAGCTGGCTGTGACTAGATATTGACAGGCCTCTCCTGCTAAATGCGACTCTCCAGCTTGCATTGTTTTGCATTTCTATTGTATTCTATTCTGTTCTTATTAGGTTGCTAGCAGATGCATTTGTCGTTGCGTGCAGGTGAAGCTGGCCGACTACATTGGAAAATTTGTCATTCCCGTCAACTTTCTGAGGACGTGGCCCCCGAACCACCTTGCCATACAGTTTGCATCCATACAGTACATCGACTGGAGGAAACCCAGCGAGGTCCAGCAAGGTACGCCTGTTTCCCCGAAATCCTTCCAAATGCAGTTTTGACCGGTCAATTCTCTGGGAGTTTCTGGCAAAGGCAGCGATGGTAGGGTGACTGGTAGTCACCCTAGATATTCTCTTAACCGCAACTGAGTCACCTGGGGCCTGCGTGCAAGTGGGCTCGTTTCTATTCTCGAGATAAAGTGTGACCCTCGCCAATCCTTGATAACCATATCTTTGGGACCCCACCCGGTGATTGTCTGTAGGTGTTCCACACTGCATAAAATTTCAACCTTGTAGTCTACTATGAACCAAGCTTTATTAACGTAGACATCTCTAGTTGCCACAACAAACCTCCTTCCTTGTGTGAGATCGGCAGATTTAACCTTGTTTTCTCGGAAATGATCAGCAATGTGAGATACATTCATCTTCCTTTTGCACTGAAGGCCTCCTCCCGACAGCACGTCCACGCAGTCCGCTACATATCTTGGTCTATCATTCTCTCGGGCTTTAGCAGCTATGTCGGGGATGTTATACAACCTATCAAATCCTCGCTGTTTAGCTTCTACACAAAATTTAGGACCTTTTTTGACCCCTTCGCGTATATCTTTCGGAAGAGGTTCGCCACCCAAGATGGTGGCAGACTCACCCTTCCACTGTGCCTTCATTTTCGTCATTCTCTTTTTTGTTTAATTTTCGTCTATCTCTTTTCACGCATTAAACACTCGGTCGATAGTAAGCGTTTGTCCTCTCCGTACCTTTGTTCCATCCTTGTCTTTTGCACTTTAGTATTTAAAATGGTCCTGCCAGTTGTGTACGTTAGATGGCGAGTTTCCGCGCTCTTGATGACCAGTTGTTTCGTCCAAATTATTGACTGAAAGTGGAGATCTCATTCACTGTGCACGGATCCAGCACGCACGCTGGACTTAGTCTGAGACGGCGCTGATCACTCCCAGGTTCCCGCGAGAGCGACGGGGAGGAGGAAGAGAGCCTGAGGGTTTGGGAGAAGAGATCGGTGGAACGCGTCGCGAGCGACATCTTCTCCAGTCTGAGGCAGTGCAGGGAGGAATTCCCCTACCCCCACTCCTTTTCGGTGAGTCTCCCACTGGCCCAAAGGGCAAGTCGCTAGCGCCTCCTGCTTTGAGCTGTTCGGGAAAGTCTGTCGAATAAGAACTGAAATCCGGCCAAACGCTTGGCATCCATGATTGCTACTAATATCTCGTTAGGTATGATTTCAGATTTGACGGGAACACCGCTTGTGTTGTCGCCAGCGTCTTTGATATAGGCGACGAGGAAAGGCGACATAGTGCCATTTCTTTTATTAATAGTTTTGTACTCTCATGCACGGTGATTTACGTTGGTTTTGGCTGATTTTATGTTGCGCACATTTGGAATGAATACCATCGAAGGTCGATTTTATGCTCGAGAAGTAATTGGTGACTATTTGCGCACGATCGTGCTGGAAACAAATGCAAAAAACCTCTATCTGCATCTCCCATGCATGATGATGACAACCCTGTGGTTCTAATCTCTTCCACAATGCACACTCTTTTTCTTCTAGGAGAAATCTGTGATTGCACCTGCGGACAGTGGAACACCAATGATTTGTCCAGATGGCCGGCCATTTGTCATCATCAGTGCCCATCCGCAAGATAAGGATTTCGTAAGTCGATGCGCGAAGTGCAACACCTTGACGGGAGAAGTCCGAGGGGATTCTGAAAATGAATAGAATTAAAGAGAAACTCCGCTTCATTCTCGGTTGTTACCAAACACTGTGGCTCTCTTTAGTATCATCTAGAGAGACCGAATATCAAATATTATAACGTAATACCGCCTAAAAGATCACTAAACCGGCCGACAAAAACTGAGACGCGCGAAGTCACCAAAATCCGCTAATTTAGCGGGCGACGTGCGGCGCGGCCAACGTTGTATTTCCGTTGTGGCTGACGTCTGTTGCATACACAGTTTTTTTCTTAGTATTTTTATTTCCAGGGAGAGCTTACCGGGCGGCGCTACGGACGCGCTCCACGTTTGAGCAAGCAAAGAGGCGAGCCTACTACAATAAAGATCAGTGGGCGAGACAGACAAAAAAGAAAAAAATGAATGAGAACAAGAGAAACAAAAAAAGGGAGAGAAGGTTGTACAGGATGACGGGATGAGTTTCGCTGACACACCTGCGAACCGGTGCCAACCGACGAGCCGCCTGGGTTGTTGCCTGGGTTGCCGCCTACATAGCCTGCTTCGTTGCTGCCTGTTCGCCGCCGCGAACAGGGAGCAGGGAGGAGGGAGGGTTGCCGCCCTCCCTCCTCCCTCCTTGCCCTTCCCCTCGCATCCGCGTTTTTCTTGGGTTACCGCTAGTAGATCACGTGACCCCTTGTATTCCACGTGGGTGCCCATGCAACTATCGTTGAGGGTACAATGTTGCCCGGCTGTGCCGAAGTTTCAGTTTCGGTTTGCGATTATGGTAAATAACAAGATCGCACAAAAAATATTTTGCTTTTAATGAGACAAACGGTCTAGGGTTGTTTTGAAGTACTTTTCACGTTTATATCATCCACTATCTCAAAATTTCCGAAATCGAGCGGAGTTGCCCTTTAACTGCAGCTTAGATTATTGGCAGTCGAAAATGAAGAAACGGTGCCACTACATCCACGGATCGCTTGGAATGTCCAGTAAATCTGCCGCGTCAAAATTAGATTATGTAGCCGATCGCCGAACATTTTTTGACAGCTTAAAACACGAGCGCAGTGTCCCTGTTGGGATTTTCCCCTATAAACCTCTAAAAATATTTTGGACAGCTGCAGCCAAGGGAGTTGGGACGCTCGCGAAAATGTTGTCTCATATCTTGAAACTTGAACCACTTAGTGCTCTTTCAATGTGGCAGTGTTGCTGCGTGCTGACGCTCTACATGGCGCAAGGATGCGTGCACAAGGATTTGGTCAAAACTTGGAACTCGCTCATTGGGAACCCGGGTGTTCCCCCGAGTACATGCGCAGTTTGTCGAGGAGTTCACTCGTCACTGACACAATGAGAATGGCAGGGCATGTCCGGGATGCCTGGGATGCCTCCGCCACTCGTTTCTTGCATCGTGTTTTGACTGTACGCGCCTCGAGGTGCGCAAGAGGCCAAAGTGCCGTTGTTCTCACCTTGGCAGTCTTTCCTGCCAACTAGCCCCCAAAAAGGGCAATAAACTGTGCATTGCCCAGCGCTCTTTCTCCCCCAATTATAGTGTTAGAAGTTCAGAGGCCAAAGATCCGCAACTTACCATCATTCAAAAGTTATGCTGTCGAGACTGGTTATAACGAAGTCAGCGGGAATTGGAAATCGCTTCGCTATATCCGCATCTTCATTGTATATAAATTCGTACAAATAACATAAAAGAAAAAAGAAAACGATAACACGGTTTGTCTCGGGCACATGTTTATCGAGCCTGCAGAAAGCGGTCGAGGCTTCCCTGCACGCGTCCTATGCTAGATCGGAGCTGCTTCTTGCACCTGCGAGAAGCCCCGATCGAAAATGGTCCTGCTATTACGGACCGTGTCCACAGCTGTGAGGAGGATGCCGGCGGTAGATGGCATTCTTTACGTTTATGCGCACTTCGTCGAGGATGGCACGCTTTTGGTTCAAGGAGATTGGCTTCGTCTCCCCTTCAAGGTGCCAGCAGTTCCGGGAATCTTCATCGTTGAGTGGCGACGATTCGCCAAATCGGGGCTTGAGCAAAGTACACTTTTGTGCGAGAGTGACCTGAATGACGAGACGCCGACACGGATCACGAAGCAAACAAAGAACCGCGCATGGCACTGAGTTTGCGCTCAAGCTTTTCTGCCGTCGCTATAGAGAGCCTAGATGTAAGAGACGGGGCAACCGCTTGGTCGGGGTCACGTGGTGTGTGGGCCGCGTTTTCAAAACGAATTGCCACATGCAAGGAGTCAGAACTCAAAAGCGTTCACCTTCTGCAAACGTGTCCGCCTCTCCGCCCTGTTACCTCGCCACACTGGTGACGCGACAATCAAATGCAGGCGTACTTACTGCTCCCTCTCTTAAATCTAAGCTAAATCTACGTTATTGCTGGCGCTCTGAACACCCCTATTGGCATACAGCGACGGCTTCTCCGCATGCGATGCGGTAAAGCCGCTTCTCAGATAAGAACCGGGGAGCAGACGACATTGCAGAGACTGCCGCCAGAGGCCTCTCCAGCATCTGAAGTCGGCGGGAATTGGAAATCGCTGATCGCGGTAGCTTCTTGGCCGCGGCAGCAAAGTGTGGCGGTCTGAGACTTAGTAAACTTTCCAAATTTTATTATTTTTTAAAATTATCACAAAGTTTCTTTTCACGATATCTGCGGGAGCCGCTCAATTTCCTTCGCTAAAAACAGACACAAATGCATTGAAAAAGTGCAAGCGGGAATGGGAAGTCGTGATCGTTTCGCTGTAGCCGCTATTTCGTTATAACCGTCTTCGTTATAATCGGTGTCAATAGTAGCTGATTTTTCCGAAAATTTCAATGGAAAAATGGGGCTCGCTTTCGGTAACTGGCGCACTTCAGCTTCATGTATTCCAGTGTGCCGACAACCACCATTTTCCCATAGAAAATTTCAACAATTCACTTATAACTTTTGAGTAAGATAACGGTTCGTGCTGAAACTCTAACATCTGGTTCGGACCCCTAGGGCTACATTTGGGCCGAGAATGAGCCCCAAGCGTTCAACCACGCAGTTTATTTTTGTGATAAAAGAAACCCTAACATTTTTTGGGAGGACTATGCTAGGCTCTATCTGACTAGTTGTGCTGTCAAAGCTGTGGACAGGAGAGGGGAGAGCTGCCTTTGTAGGAATTTCGGGTGACGGGCTAGCCTCTGACGGGGACAGATGCGATCTCTGGGACAAACCAAAAAGGATAAGGGGGGAGTTCCCTCCTCCCCCTCCTCCCATGAGGGCTGTCACATGCTTTGTCTCTGTCGCTCCGATTGGCTCCAAGGGGTAGAACCTTTCCATTTTAATCAAGCTACGGTGAAACGAAGCATCGGACATTTGTGAGAGCGCCTCGGTTTTCGACTTGCTTAAATGAATCGCAGCAAGCTGGAACTTTGTGAGAATGTGACGCTAGCGGTTGGGGTAGAATGTGAAAGTTTGAGCATGTGACGTTACTTGGATCAAAAGATATTCCTTTACAAGGTGGCGTCCACTTAAGCCTAATATTGTCCAAACAAGAACCAAGATTGTGGACCCATGTGGCCTTTATGTCGGTGAAAAACACTTACCAACAAAAAGGAAGATATTGTTTTCTTTCTTGCTGTTAAGATTTTTTTTTGCTGGAGTACACGCATGCTGCGTGTGCCCGCAATGTCATTCCTTGTTTTGGCAATAGTATTGGGCTTAAATGGACGTCGGCTCATGGAGAACTTTTGTTTCTCTTTATCTTTGAATCCAGGTAACATCATGTGCTCAAACTTTTGTGTTCCATCACGACCGCCAGCGTCGCATTCTCGCACGGAGTTCTGGCGTTTTGCAGTGCATTACGTGGGCCGAAAAACAGACTTCTTTTCTCCCGTATGGCCGCTGTATTGGTCGGCCAGAGAAATGAGCAAACGGGTTTCTGCCGGTCGCAGTGTGCCCGCCTGCAGTCCCTCCTGGAGCGCAACTGCTACGAGGCCTGGTGCTCGCTGGACGTGCTGACCTCCTCGTCGCAGAACGCTGGCGCGTCCAGCCCGAGCAGCTCGAACACGACTCCCACGACACCGATGGCCGGCGTGCCGGTCTTCAGCTCGCAGGAGAGCCAGGGTCCGTTGGACGGATGCTTCAGCCAGCCCGCACGGCCGCCCCCGCTCCTCAGAGTCCCGTCCTTCCAATTTTCCTCTAGCATGGACACTGTCGGCAAGTGCCTCTGGCAGATCCCCCCCTCTCTTCCTCCTGCCTTTGCTTGCATCTCAAAAAAAAAAAAAAAAAATCTTATTTTATTGAGTTGTACTGCAAGTAAGTGGAGGCAAAAGCCGAGCCGCTGCTGCACAATCACAGTGCACACTGACCACAATGTCACGTGATGTGGCATCACGCGAAGTCGCGGTGTTGTGTAGCATTTTAGTCCCGCATGATGTCACGGTGTCGCCAACGTTATTGGATGAGCTTAGTTGTGGTACCCCCCTCTCTCTTTCCAGTTCGCCTCTGGTCGTTTGAAGCGCCATCTTGAGTTTTGTTTCAAAACTGTATTTCATATAGTATGGTGAAGTGGCATCTAGATTCGGCGCTTCAAAACATGTATTGCATAGAACGCACCGCAGTTACCGTAACAGCCGTTTGCAAAACGGTGGTGCATCGAACGACGGGAGGCAGACCGGGGGGTGAGAGGGGGAGGGGTATCGCTTGTGGAAGCGGCGTCCATGGACAGTTCCGTAACCGAGTTGATCTAATAATGTTGGATGTCGCATCACGTCGCACCGGGATGTTTAGCGGAGAAATTTTTCCTCTAAGTATAGCGGAAAAATTTTTCCGCTGAATTTAGTGGAGAAATGTTACCGCTAAATTTAGTGAGAAAATTTCTCCGCTAGGCGTCACGGTGTCACGGGGTGACTGCGTTACATCAGCCGCGACGACCCGGCAGGAGATGCACTTGGGGATCTGCTGCGAAACCTCGCCAATGACCGCTCTTGCCATATGAGAGGAGGAAATCCCTCTCAGGTTGTGCTTGCTGCGATGCCAGGGCTGGTTCGGAAGTTTGAGTGTAATGGACTGCATTGCAATTGCTTGCGACGGGGGAGCACGCTGGCACACTGACGCCATCTATCGGCTAACAGATTGTGGAAAACTATCTTAAAATCCCGTATGAATGCCCCCCCCCCCCCCAAGAGATTGCACCGTGACATGCGAATCTGCTGCTTCTGCGGGAAGAGACGCGAGAGTTTGTAGATCATTCCCACATTTTTTTGTTTACGATCTGCACACACAATGTCGGTTCCCGCAATACACAAGTACTATATATGTAGTAGTTTCCCACTTGTCTATCACACTGTGAAACGCAAGTTTGCCACGTCTGCAATCTGCAGTGTCCATTCTTGTGACGTACTAGTTTGCGGTGGGATCCCGCACTTTTGTCCACGATTTGCAAGCAAGAGATTGGTTTTCGTGGCACTTCAGTCTGTAGCAGGTTCTCGGTGAAGCTCGGTGAAGTGTTGATCTGCCGCGTCTGCGTCTGTGGTGCCTGCTTCTGTAACAAGAATTTGTAGTGAATACTCGCATGTTTATTGCACCGTAAAACGCGAAATTGCTCCGTTCACGACCCGTGAGATCGGTTCTCGTTTCGCCTGGCTTGTAGAGGGGCTCCAATGTTTATCGCTAATTTTTGTTTTACAATTTCACCGTCGCATCTTGAAAGATGGCTTACCCCATATTTTTCACGATTTCTCTCTTCTTTTTGAGTGGGCGTTCTTAACCGGATTTTATGGTAATAGTCGGTGACGGGTGGGCAACCCAGGAGATACTCTGCCTCGAGCTTTCTGCCTCTGTAACACTTGGTTCACGCGCAGCTAAATCTCGGAGGAAGGTGAGGAGAGGATGCCAGACCCAGACCTGCTACTAGGTGTCAGCGACTATACACTCCGTGCGGGAACTATAGGGGGCGCTTTGAAAAACGCGCGCAGCGCCGCTAGCGGAGGAGCTGGCGTTCGACCGTGAGGCGCGTTCAGCAGCCTGCGGCGCCTTTTCGCGTGCCAAGCTGTGGTGGCGGAAGCGCGCACGGACGGAATTTTTGCTTTTTGAGCCGATACGTTGAGGGTGACGTTGCATGAATGCTGGGGCAGACCTAAGAAGGGCATTTAGCTGTTCTCCTCTTCTTATATATTGAGTTTTAGTCGTTATTCGGGGGAATTTCTCTAGTTGTGGCCAAAAAAGGAGTTGGAGCAATTTTCCGAAAAGCAAGACGGCCGCCACGATAATTGCTTTGAGTGGGAAATTTATTTCGCTCGTCGCTGTAAACGTAGGGCTGCTGGAACGATGATATTGGAGGCGAGTGAGATGTCCACTAAATTTTTGCACCAAGTGTGCCAAGTTTCATTAATATAGCAGTTGTGATAGTTGTTTATAACGAATGAAGAAATAAAGCTGTACGGTATATCCAATATTGGACCCAAAATGTTGTGTTATTTCGAGCTGTGCAAAGTGCAGATTTGGGCACACGGGTGCTTGGACTTGACAGTAACATGACACAGCACTTATTATAAAAAAAAAAAAAAAAGTGGCATAGGGAAATCAGGTGAAAATTTGGTTTGGGCGGCGTAACTCAATGGGAACCGGTTTTGACCATGAAAAGGTTGTCAAGAGAATACCACTGGTCGGGGGAGGTGGATATTTTAGAGGTAGGAAGGGACTAGTGGACTGGGAGGCACTCACTTGATCGAATGACGTTTTAGCGAACGCCCACGTTTCATCGAACGCCCACGTTTCATCGAACGCCCACGTTTCATCGAACGACACTTTAGCGAAAAGTCGGACGCCGCGAAGCGGCGTTTTCGGGTGGGCCAAGTGAGTTCGTATTTTTGTAATGAGCTGCCGCAGACTGTCGCCGCGAAGCGGCGTAAAGCGCAGCGCGACGGATGGGTTAACGCACGCCCCCGTTATTCGCTAAAACTACCATTCGCTCAAATGTCGCCGTTCGCTAAAATGTCATTCGCTCTTGTCATATGGGCCCCTAGTGGACTGTACTTCCCATTAAAACAACTTTACGAAAGGTGGTTCCAAAGTCGAGAAAACGAAGTTGTCGGCCAACACGGTTTGGCCGCCAAGGGCTTTTGCGGTCAGCTGTTGTGTAATAACCTGTTGTGCGAGGTGCTGATTTTCGGCCCACAGGTACTTTGACATGACTGCACTTGGCACAACACTTATTATAACAAAAATAGTTGGCATAGCGAAACCAGGTGGAAATTTAGTTTGGGCGGCGTAACTAAATGGGAACTGGCTTTGACCGTCAAAGGCTGTCAGAAAATACCACTCATCGTGGGAGGTGCACACTTTACAGGTAGGAAGGGACCAGTGGACGGTACTTCCAGTTCAAACCACTTTGCGATAGGTGGCTCTAAAGCCGAGAAAAAAATATTGTTGTCTACAGAACTCGGGGTGTCAGTGTTTCCACATCCAAAAGGAGGCTGATCAAGAAAGAAAGCACACCACATAAACTTGCATACTCAAACGCCGATTCTCCAGTGATTCCTAGATTCATGGTTGTTTTCTTTAGATTTATATTTGTCACTTTTTTTACCGTTCAAATCTTTCTTCATGAAGTACAGATTGCGTGCCATGTTTGTCTGGAAATATCATCGACACGTACGATGGGGACGAAACTTCTTCGGAGGGCATTCCTCCAACGAAATTGGTACTGCATACCCGCGAGTGTGGGATGGCATTTCACTTCGTCCCATCGGCGCTGACACATGTAGGCGTTACTGGTACGAAAACGAACGCAGGGCGCAAAGCGGCAGTGTAGAATATGTCAGCCGTGCCGACACAGTGGCAGACATGATTGGGACACCAAATTTCTCGCGTCGTACGGCACGGCTCCATCGTTGTCGCTGTCCCACAAAACATCGGCGAGGTGAAAAACTGGGAAACTTTGTCTCCAGGAGATACGACGCATAACTATTGAAGCACTTCATGACGCAGCACTTCATGCTGTGAACCCAGCGCAACAGCACCACTCCGACTTCAACGCGTACCAACGTACGCGGCGTGGTTTCGGTTTCGTTTTCTCTGGGGTGCTCACTGCCTACCTTCGGTACCGGCCGCGCGGCGGCGCGCCAGTCGCTTCGCACGGAGTGTATAGACTGGCAGTTTTGCAGGATTTGCGAGATAAATCTACTATGAGAAATGGTCACTCGTAACATTATGACAATTATTTGGAGATGAGAGAAGGATCCGGACAGATGGCACCAATTTGTTGCAAGTGAATAGAGTGGTCACGAGGTAACGTCTGAGGCAGCTTTCAGAATTGCAAATTTGAAAAAGGTAATAACTGTGTGTGTGTGCCCATCTTCCTCGACCTTGTGGAAACTCTCGAGACACCTTGCACCGAGCAGATCTTGGTGTCAATGTTCTATTGTTTGCCCCCATCAACGTAATCTCTGCCTGGGTTTCTTAGAAACATTTAAATCGAATCCATACGGTCATGACTCGATCGGCGTTGCTTCTAGCAAACCTGCTTTAGAAATTCGGTACAATGAGCACGTTGGTATAGTTCAGCTACAGCGAGGGAAGAATGAACGAGGTCTGGACACACCCTCATTTGTGTTTTTTCCGCTGATGATAGCAGCCTCGAGAATGTGCGCTCATTTGCTCCGTCTCGCCCTGGCTAATGTCTCTGGTGCGCAATGAAAAGCGCACATGGAGTGTGGTTTCCGCTCGTGTCCTGCGCAGAATGTGTCCCGTACGCAGCACAGGCACGCTGCATGGATTCCATGCTCCTTGGTCTTTGGCGGCATGATCGAGCGAAAGATAGTTTTTTAATCCGTAGATTTTCCTAATTCCAGAAACTATGAGACAGAGCTCTTATAAAGCATCGGTCAGCTGCCCGTCTTTTGGACTTGTCTTTAAGTTACCAAACGCATCTTTACACGCTCAAATAGACCTTTTGCCAAATTATCCGAGCACCGAGGAGAATGCTGGGAACGTAGGCACGCGCATTCAATGCGCTCTCCTCGTCGGCGAAAAAACTTTCCACTCAATAATCGCAATAAGGCATTGATGAATGTGACATTTGTTTTAGGGTTTTCCTTTGGAACAGTTACTGCTGCAGGTGCAAGTAAGCTCTAAAGCAACCTGCGTAAATGCATACACAAAATGTGTGTATTTAATTACCTAGTTACATACCAGATTCCAAGCTTTATGTTTTATCTTTTTACGGCGGAGCTGTTAAGGGCTAGTTTCCCCAGGATTGTGTCCCCCGCAAAGAAATGTCGACACAAAACTCTGGTTGCCGCCGTCGCTCATAGATGGCAGTAGCTGTCCAGAGTGTTGTGTAGGCCGGTTGTCCGCTTCCCGGCCGTTGCTCATAGATGGCGCAACCTTTCGAGCCTTTCCACTCTGGTTTGTTGACTTGCGACCGGCCATTACTTTATTCCCACCGTCGTACAGCTTCGCTGGTCTTCCTTCTTCACTTGAGTAAAAAGGCTGAAAGTTTTTATGAGCATGCTTCAAAAAGTCTTGTTTTCTGAGAATTAATTTTTTCGTTACAGCACAAAATGTTTGCTCGCAGTATTTTTGGATCTAGAATATGGAACTGGATACTTTCGGGCTAGGATGCCTCATTCATCAGAAAGTGCAACAAGACTTAACATTTCTGGAAACTTTTACGTAGAAGTTTTTGTAAATGGCAATAACTTTAACGACTTTCTTCTAATTTTCAGTCAATGAATTTTAATATGTATGTGATAACCTTTTCTAAAATGATGCTAAAATTATAATCATGTTTCTGTTGCAGCGTCTACTATTTGTAGAATACTTAGTGCCACAGTTGTCGATGAATAGAATACTTAGTGCCACAGCAACTTTGTACTTTGCCACAGCAACTTTGGATTTCCAGAAAACTTAGTGCCATAGCAACTGTTGCACTAAACATTCTACGAATAGTAGAGAATGCGACAAAAACGTGCTTACAATTTTAGCATCATTTTAGAAAAGGTTATCACTAGGGTTTTGTGTTTCCGTATAAATCCGGTAAAATCCGCAAAATACTCGCTGGTAAAAATATTTTGAATTCGGATTTATATCCAAAGAACTCAGAATTCCGAAACTCAGTTGCAAAGAAAAGAAACTTCCTCCAGGACTCGAAAGACGCTTTCTTCATCCACTTTTTATTGTTTCCAAGTTTGTTGGTTCCACTTTCCTCTCTCCAAAGGCTTAAAAAGTATGTCCTTGAACTCTTATTAGAAAAAATAGGCGTCCTCCTCGCGACAATGGCCGAACCAAGGCCGATTCGTAGCCAGTTCAAGCGGGTGCCTTCCTCCCGGATCCCTTTCTTTCTAAGACCTTCAGTCGCCCTCCCGTGACCTCCTTTGGTTGCAGACCGAACCTTTGCACACATTCCCCTGTCGTCCTCGTTGACGGCAGAAATTCGAGATTCAGTCAGTCGCAATAGGGGCAATTTGGGCCAGTTGGTTCATGATCAAAAACAAGAACCGAAAAAATAGACAGGGACAAGAAGTTGACATAAACGCCTGCATATATTACAAGTTGTAACTAGATTTCAGTTTCATCACGGATGTTTGCAATATTGGCTGGCCAATGAAAGTGTAAGCCCATATGTGATTTTGTATATATTACAAGTTGTAACAAGCATTTGTTTTTGCTACAAATGTTCTAAATATAGACTGAATAAAATTGTATCTGCCGCTACACTGTCTTTTATTGCTGCTCTCAAACATCAGCCTATTTGAAGTTGGACACCCTGAAATGCTAAACACCCCTAAAACCTCGGAATTTCGAGCGTCGTAAACGAATGCTCCAAAAAACTCAGAATTTGGGGGGAAAAAAAGAACTCCCAGAAACACCCCCCGATTTTGCTCAAAAATAAACTCAGAAAATGCAGAATCCTAGTTATCGCGCATTAAATGGGCATTGTAAACAAAGTTGGGCAGAAACATTTGTGATAAAGTTGATATCTTCTTGAGAACTACAGTCGAATCTCGTTAATTCATACTCGAGCGAGACTGAAAATTTGTTTGAACAAAGCAGAGTTTGAATTTTCGAGAGTTTTCTTCCCATAGAGACACATAGGATGGGACTTGAATGTTAGTTTGAATTAAGAGAGTTGGAATTAACGAGATTAGACTCTATAATATATAGGTAGGAAAGAAACTACTCTCATGTTTGTGCTTTTCACCCAGAATTACAGTCGGTATGAGATTTTTATGAGAAATGACGAAATGTTTAAAGTCAGTGCAAGCTGTGTGGGAAAACAAAAAAAAAAGAATTTCTTGTTGCAGACAGTGACAGCATGTCTGCGAAAGACAGCAACAGGAAGAACGAGTTTCGGAGGCAAGCGCAGAGGGCGGAGCTGGTGCTGCTCGTCTTGTCGGAGACCTACATGCAGTCCAGGGCGTCCCAGCAGCAGGTTAGTCCCGGATTGGCACAACTGCCGGCCCTTAGTGCTTCAGAAACATGCTCTACCCTTCGACCGAAGCAAAGAATATATTCGATGCATTTTTTGAACGTAGGTGGCACATCTCCTCGGATGTTCTTTAAAATTAAGAGATATACCACTAAGAAGCCTATAGTGCTGCCTAATGTATGTATTGTGCCGCTTGCCTGTCTGCCTGCCTGCCTGGGAATGGGGGTTGTATATTAGGGTAGGAACTGTGTTTTTGTGGAGTAATGTAGTAGGGGCAAAGGCATGTCACGCACGGTCACAGAGTATACACCAACTCATGTTTACAAACAAACCGGAGCGCCCGGAGCGCCCCTAGCGGACGCCACCGGCGCCGCGCATGCGCGATGGGGGTGTGGGCAAGAAGCTCGCCGTCGCCCATAAAAAAAACATTGAAATGCGATGTTGTCGGCCTCGGTGCGAGTCCCCGCGCTCTTTTTCGCGTTGGAATTGTTGATTCTACGTCCTCCTAACGATGTCTGACTACTTGGGCGGCGTCAGCGAAATTAACGAGGCTCGTTACACCGCAAAACTTCGCGTGAATAATCTGACATGCGGCGATTCATTCCGCGTGGACGCCGCAGAATGTACGCTAAAGCCTGATTCACATGATGAGATTTCGCTCGAAATTTTCAGTAGCGACGTCGCTCGGACTGCAAAAGCGTGAACCGTAGCTGAGATTGTCGACGTAGATACTGAAAATCGCAAGCAGAATCTAACCAAGTGAATCAAGCATAACAAGTCGGTGATGGCCACTGGTAACAATGATCAACGTCTCCTTGTATCTACTGTTTACGTCGAGCCTGCTTACCAACCTTCAAACTTAAGTCTTGTGAGGCCTGCACTTACTTCTTATCGCAAGTACCGGGCCCACGTTTGGTCTGCGGGCCGGTGTCCTCTAAAAGAGCAGACGAGAAGCAGAAACGTTGGAAAGAGCAGACGACAGTTCGAACGATCAGGCGACCGTTTGAACTTGAAGACGAACTGAACGTAGTCCGCAGGTGGTCCGTACGACTTGACAGTTTTCCGGCGTTCATTTTGGAACAAAACAAATAAATCTGATGGCCAGAAGTATCCGTGAATTCAACCCAAAATGCTTCCCGCCCAAGCAATCGTGGTCCGACGGCGTCTGGTTTTCCCTTTTCATGGCACATATTCACGTTCTCGGACGAACCGAGCACATGAAAACTGACCTTCAAACCTTTCTCGACCCTTTTGGTACAGCCCCAGTCGCAGCATTTGACAAGAAGGCAGGTTTTTGTCTGGTTTCTTTCAAAACAACGCAGGAATACACGTCTCAGATGGGCACTTCCGCCCACAGCCCCGGACCGGAAGTGCGTCCGACGCGCCACCGCCGTGCCGTGACGTAACAGAGATGAGTTCGTGTATAACTGAGAAGGACATTGTTAGTTATTGTCTGTGCACTTACCACCTCGAGCTTCTCGAAGAGGCACACAATCACTTGGTGTCCTCCTCTTCCTGTCTTCGATCGCAAAGAAAAAACAAAGGAACAAAAAAAGCGGATATAATTTGCCCCCCTCCCTTTTTTATTTTTTTTTTATTTTGTAGAAATGCTTATTTGGATATTTTGACATTGTTTTTAGGGTCTAAAAAATGGATTCAGGGGCTTGGTGTGGCAAAAAAAAAAAAGGCTTTGCGGAACTGAAGAGTGCCAAGCCTTCCTTTGCGCAGGTCAATTCGCGTGACAGTGTCACTGCACCTCCACTTTACCAAAATAAAAACAAAAAAAAACTTTCTTTAGAAAGGGGGGGGGGGGGGGTTGGTCCTGTAAAAAATGTAACGGATTACGAGGAATCCGTTACGTAAAAAATGTAAGGGAATTACTTTAAAATTACTCTAAAAATATGTAATTATTCCGTTACTAAATTACTCATAAATGTAAGGGATTACAAGTAATTTCGTTACTTGTAACGGATTACGTACAAGTCAGGCTGGGGCTGGACGTTTTAAAAATAATTAACATGATAATAATTCTCGCAAGTGTGAAGATTTTTTTTTTTTAAGTTACACAGCGAAATATTTTGTTAAAACGCTTGCGTCGGTGCGTTTTAACATTTTGTTAAAACGCTTGCGTCGGTGCGTCTTTAGCGATAACATTTTGTTATCGCTAAAGACGCACCGACAGCATGGTCAGTACTCTGCGTCCTGTGCAAAAAAACCCGGAATCAATTGAACATGTATTCCTCGACTGCTGGGACGCAGTGTTCTTCTGGGACGTCCTACAAACAACGCTAAAGAAAGGCTTTTCTCTGTCGCCTCACAGCAGCCATTACTTCACTCTGGAATGAGAGGACACAGTGCCTCGTGACCTTATATTGCTTTTAGGTTTGCACAGTGTTCGTTGGTTACGCAGGGTGGTATTCCACGTCGATATCAATGCACGCCCAGAGAACTAGAACTTTGTCAAAACGGTGTGTTTCTCGAAGGAAGTGTGGAAATCGCAACAACCTTCCCCTAAGTGTTTTTTTTTTGTGCCTGTTCTTGAGACCTGGCAACCATGACATAGTTTTAAAATATTCCTTCGTATCAACCAGAATGACTAATTTTCCAGCCCTTTGCTGGTGTGACTACTTTCCTCCTCTATAGACTACTAGCCTCCTCTATAGACGCTTTAAACGGGCGCCAGATTGAGCCGCTATTGCCGGCCTTCTCTTGTCTCACCGAGATACCGAGCCACTGAAACGGGCGTTGACGAGCCTTTCCAAAGGCCTATGCAGGGGAGAAGGACACAGTGGCACCTAAAGTGACAATAACCTGCCCTGCTGTGGCAGTGACAAAGTGAGGCGAACAGTATAAGACGAAACAAAAAATGAAGGTCCGTTATGGCGGCGCCCTGACACGGCTGCCTGAAAGCGTATATACACCAACTCATGTTTACAAACAAACCGGAGCGCCCCTAGCGGACGCCACCGGCGCCGCGCATGCGCGGTGGACGGTTGGCAAGAAGCCCGCCATCGCCCATAAACATACCATTGAATTGCGTTGTTGTCAGCGTCGGTGGGAGTTCCCGTGCTCTTTTTCGCGTTGGAATTGTTGGTTCTACGTCCTCCTAACAATGCCTGACTACTTGAGTGGCTTCAGCAAAATTAACGAGGCAAAACTTTGCGTGAATAATGTGACGTGCGGCGATTCATTTCACGTGGACGCCGCAGAATGGGTGCTAAAGTCTGACTCCCACGATGAGATTCTGCTCGCTATTTTTAGTCGCGACGTCGCTCGGACTGCAAAAGCGTGGACCGTAGCTGAGATAGTGGACGTCGATACTGAGAACCGCAAGTAGAATCGGGCATTACAAGTCGGTGATGGCCACTGGTAACAGTGATCAACATATCTTCTTGTATCTGTTTACACTTAGCCTACTTACCCCAACCAACCTTCAAAAGTGTTTTAGGCCTGCACTTAGTTCTTATCGCAATTACCGGGTCAACGTTTGATTTACGGGCCGCTGTCGTTTGAACGAGCTGACGTCAAGAAGCAGCCAAGTTTGAAAGAGCAGACGACAGTTCGAACGCATGCGCAATGGAGTACGGGCAAGAAGCACCGCGTCCTGCGTCAACAAACCATTCGAATGTCACGTTGTCGGCGTCTGTGTGAGTCTGCATACTCTTTTTCGCGTTGGAATTATCGATTCTACGTCCTCATCGCAATGTCTTACCACTTTAATCGCCTGAGCGAAATGATCAAGGCTCGTTACGCCGCTAAACTTTCCGTAAATAATTTGACGTGCGGTGATTCATTCGCATGAACGCTGCAGAATGGACGCCAAAACCATGATGAGATTTTTCTAGCTATTTTCGGTCGGAACGTAGCTCGTGCTGCAAAAGTGTAAAAGGTAGCGGCAATGATCGACGTCAACACTGAAAATCGGAAGCGGGAACAGACCAAGCGTAACAAGTCGGTGACGGCCACCAGTAAAAATGATCAACATCTTGTATCTACTGTTTACACCGAGCCTACTTAAGTCTTTTGAGGCCTGCAATTACTTCTTATTGCAATCACCGGGTCAAAGTTTGGTCTACGGGTCGCTTTTGTTTGAACGAGCAGACAAAAAGCAGACAAGTTTGAAAGAGCAGACGAAAGTTCGAACGATCAGGCGGCCGTGTGAATTTGAAGACGCACTGAACCCGTGGGTGGTCCGGACAACTTGGCGGTTTTCTCTCGTTCATGTTGGAACAAAGCAAATACATCTGGCGACCACAAAGTGTTGCCCGCACACGCAATCGTAGTTCGACAGCGTCTAGTTTGCCCTTTTCACGGCTACTATCCACGTTCTCGGACGAGCGGAGGGGGCAAAAACACATGAAAACTGATCATCAAACCTTTCCAGACTCTCTGGGTACAGCCCCCGTCGCAGCATTTTACCGAGAAGGCAGGTTTTTTGTCTCATTTCTTCCAAAGGAACACAGGAATGCATGTCTGGCACGGCGACTTCTGCCCACCGCCCCAGACCGGAAGTGCGTCCGGCGCGCCACCACCGCGGCGTGACGTAGGAGAGTTGAGTTCGTGTATACACAGCATTAGAATTTCGGGGAAAATAATGCAGTGCCCCCAAAGGAGAGGTGCATGAATGGAGAAGTCCTTTATGCAGTCACAATTCTTTTGCCATACGTCACATTGCATATAATTCTGACAGAAAGTGCCGTTAGTTAAAAAAACAAACATCTTTATTGCATTTGAGAGAATGTCTAAGCCAGGCCATTTCTGTATTTTGCAGGCATGCTACTGTTTGCTCCGCAAGAAGGTGGTGGTTGTTTCATGCACGGACAAAGAGGTGCCAGTCTCTCTGCAGAAGCGGTTGCAGTTTGCATCGCACATCGTCAAGGCAAGTGCTGAGGTTGCAACAATAGCGGAGACATTGGTACTTTAAATAAAGTACACACTTAGAGTAAATGTTTTGTCAAGCACAATTAGCATCACAGTTGTGCATTACTTAAGCTCCCGAGTCAGTATTTTTTAAACAAAATTTTCGGGAAATGTAAAGGTGTTGAACACCTTGTGAAATTTGGCTGATGTGGTTGTAAATTGTGCGAGGGCTCATTATTTTTTCGCACATGAAACTTTGTTGCACAGCTGCTTCTGAATGCCTTGAGGCCTGAGGAAAGAGATACCTGTGTGTCTGTAATGTTTGTATATTTGGCAACCCTAATGGAAGGTTACATTACAATATGAATTAGTCGAGAATAATAAAGTCTGCAGTAACACCGATGGTGTGGTGAATTGATCTGGCGACTTTGTCGCCAGATCAATTCACCACAGCCATCTTCAGATCCCTGCACTACCAAACATCGAAATAAGTACGTTGAATGTGCCACTGGCGTCGTCTATGAAATCCCCATGACGTGTGGGATGACATACGTGGGCCAGACGGGCAGGTGCGTTAATGATCGCACCCGAGAGCACGCTGCCTCTACAAGAACGACGCCTTCGGGGCACCTTGCAATTCATTGCAATAGATGCTCTTGCACCCCGGCCTTCAATGACACCAAGATTTTGGCTAGATACTAAGATAAAGTGTCGCGGGAATTACACGAGGCGTATGCAATTAGGACCAGAGACAAGAATTGTATAAGTGACACGTCGGTATCCTTATCTACAAATGAGTTTGAATTTTTGAAACGCGGGCTAAGTAGATAGAAAAGAAAAGATTTTTTTTTCTTTTTTTTGTGTGTGTGTGTGTGTGTGTGTGTGTGGCTATATAACTTGTGAATTTTTCAATAAACATCAGTTGAGAGTGCGCCTTGTCCTGTTTCCCTTCGTCTGTGTCCCTGTATTTTTTCGGCGCTTTTTTGCTTGTCTGCAGTAACAGCAGAAATTTTCATCATACCAGTCCCATCATTGTAAGGGTAGAGTGCGAAGGATCAAACTTGCGAAATTGAATCTGGGCCGTAGCACCGAACTTGCACGTCGCAGGGGTTATTTCTGTGTGGTTTCGTGGAACTCGCTTAGATTTTGGTGGAGTGGAAAGTTACACCCCTGTCAGAACACACTTGTCGTACTGTAGGTCTAGACTCGGACAGAAGCAAGTGGATGTAGTCGGGGTCTCCGACCGAGACTCTGAAACAAGGTGCATGCCAATCCGTGTTACCCTTACCAGTGGACACCCTTTGATGGCATACATGAATTCAATGGGCTTTGTTTTATGAGTAATAGTCATACAAACGGTTTTATCCAAGTTTAGTGACATTTGCCAAGTATTGCACCACTTAAGATTAATTTCATCGGTGGGCTCCTTAACCTTTGTATACAAGATACAGTCATCGGCAAAGAGCCTAGCCTTAACAGTTAAATTGAAGAGTAGATCATTAATAAATATTTTTAAAAAAAACAAAGACCAAGCACTGTCCCTTGAGTTACACCTGATTTTACCTCGATCAAATCGAATGCGAGTGGCTCGAAATTGTTGGTTTTAAAGTAATCGGCGATTGCTGAAATCTTCGGGCGCTTCGCATGTTGGCCAGCGGTGGGGCAAAGCAGATTCACTTAGTCAGCGATGCACCGTTCCTCGTATTGCATCGACATCTTATCAGCCAACCTTCTGACCGGTGAAAGTTTCTCTAGCCGCAGTAGTCTCGGTTCCACGGCGAACTTCAGCCCTTTGTCCAGCGTTGCCTTCAAGATGTCCAACACAGACGCTCGACCGAAGATGGTGACACCCCCCTGCTTCCTTCTTCTTGGTTGTTTTCTGGGCAGCCGGGCCAGCTGTTGATACCACGCAAACTCAGTCGCATCCTTGGTGCTCTGAAAATGGGAAGCATAGCTTTTTTCCGCAGCTGCGTGTTCTCGACACTCCCTGAAGCAGAACACCTTAATGCGATCCCTGAACCTTTCCACTTGTTTCCATGTTTCGGACCTGATGAGCTTGGACATACAGTGATCCCTTATTGTAACGAAATCACTTTTTTCGATATATTGCTTTTATCAACGTTTTTTCTGATCCCATTCGAAATGCACACATTTTTAACCGGAATATTCAAAGTGTATCGGTGGCCAACCATCCTTATTACGAAGGCCGCGGTGCCAAGAGCACGCAAGCCTACACGGAGGTGCACGGAGACGTTTGCGTTCCCTCCCCGATCTCCAGCGAGGCAGACAGCAAAATGGGAAAACGGAGTAAATGGGTGACGTAGGGCAGAGCGCACAGAGCTGGCAGAGCCCCGCTTCCGATGCCGATGCGCCGACGCAGGCAGGGAGCAGCGGGAGCAGTGTGAACGTTCCGACGGTACTCACGGCGCCCGCGGCCAGCGCTGCCCGACTCCTGTTGGAATGGGGTCAAGGGAGCGATGAAGCCAGGAGAAAATTACCCCTTCGAGAGCCCCCGACACGCGCGCCTGCGTCGTACTTCACAAACTTGTCGTTGTATGGGAGATTGGGAGCGTTTATTGAAAGTTGCTTAGATCTGCAAGGTTGAGAAAGGTGGCCGGACCAAGTCCGAAATTGCCAAAGCATTCGACTGTCCGACATCGGCTGTTCGACACTGTCCACCATTTTGCAAAACAAGCGAGGCGTATTGGATGGGTTCGAGAAGCTTCTCATGCAGGAGAAAGCGTGCGCACGACCGGAAGATGAAAGATCGCCACTTGCTTCGTGCACGTCGGATTTTGTCTCGCAAGCATGCTTGCCGAGCCGGCGATTTCCATAGCTGCGAGGATCTCTATATGAGTCTGTGAAAACATGTTGGCAAAGCCATTGAGAATAATTTTGATTCGTTCGCGCTTGTCGATGCGGGCGTTTTCCCGTTGTTGCTCCTGCCACGGGTGCTGCGATCGTAGACCTTGCGTGCGGCCAGGGTAGACACGAAGCGACGTCAAAGAGACACCGCAGGAAACGCCGACGTCTGCTTTGAAACAAAGTGGAGGAGTGCAGCGGCGGTGACAGTGTTCTCACGATACCTAGAGCATTTTGAGGAGAACTGGTACCCGGATGAAATTATCGGCAAACTCCACTTAAATATTTTTTAACTCGGTAAAGCCACCGCGAGATGTTCATAACCAAGGTTTGTTTCATTAAATACTGTAAACAAATTTTTTTTCGCATGCTCAATATTTCGCAATTTAGGTCAAAGCTGAAGTTTTGGAATAATTCGCGGGTTCTAATTTTCGCAATGCGGTGGAATCTCAATATAGATTCCAATGTGTTTACATTTTACCGGAATTGCTCGTGGGACCTATCTTTCGCGAATTGTAGGTGATTCGCGAAATTCGTGAAAATTAAGTTGTTTACAGTATACGGTCAGAGTGTTCCGCAGTGTTCCTGTCCACCTTTAAGGCTGCTGGCACTGTTTTTTTGGCTTTATCGCTTTTATTGAATTACCACTTGTATCGATTTTGTTTGCTGTCCAGTTGACTTCGTTATAACGAGGGATTACTGTACAGTAACCCCTCGTTATAATGAAGTCATTGGGCGGCAAACAAATTTGATATAAGCGGTAATTTGATAAAAGCGATAGAGCCAGAAAAAGAGTGCCAGCAGGCCCTCTGGGTGGACGGGAACACAGCGGAAAACTGTTGATTTCTAAAGCGTCTTTTTTCTCGTTTTTGAAAATAAATCAGTTGGGACTCAGTGCTCTTTCACTGCACCTGTTCTTTCTCTTCCTCCGTGTTCTGTGCGCTGTTTTAGCACCTGGAAAGGGGTGGGAGGAGCTTCCATTTCACACTTAACCTTTGAGCGACTACACCTTATCTATCTTTGTTTTAGTAAAGGAATCCCGTAAAATGTTTCCATATTGAAGTTTAGGTCTAAATGTCTATATATGCAAAGCCAAGGTAGGGAACTCGACCAAGGTTGTCTTCTGTTCTGCATGCAGTACGAGTCGGACAGCTGGGAAAGTCGGCTGCTGGAACAGATGAAGAAAGTGCTGAAGCAGCCCGAGAAGCGGGTCTTTGAGACACTGACGGAGGACACCACGTTTCTGGTGCGTTTAGGCGTTGATTGGGCTTTGATCGGGCTTTGATCGACTGGAGCCACTAGACGAGCTATGTATCCAGTATCAACCCCCCACTCCCCGGCTTTCTTGCGGGCGCCCCCATTTTGCTGCTTAGTGCAGACCAGGCGCAGTTGGCTACCTCGGCGATTCGAAAATGCGACTTCCCGAGCTTTAGATACCGAGTGGGGAATCTTAGGCGATGTCGTTTTGCCATGTCGCGGACTGCTCTAAGATTTTTGAACTTGCAGGATAAGCCTTTCCTGCAATTTCAGGTAAAGCTTGGGGTGACTGCAAAGAATGATTTGAGCACACCAAGATCACCTTTGTGGCCTGTTGATAGTTGCAAAAATGCATTGGCTCGAGAAGGAGGAATCAGTAATTTTTCGTCGGTTGTTTTTAGGCTAGGTGGTGCAAGCTACCGCCCGTTATAAAGGGTACAACCATTATTATCCATCTGTCCGGTGGCTGAGGTGTCGTTACTTTTAGCGTAGCTTACTTAGTGGCTCTAGGATCAATTGTGCTCTTTAGATGTCTCTTTTTCTAGAAACTGCGGGTGTCCGGCTTAAGAAGGTTTTCTGCTGCAGGTGTGACCAACTTTAACCACGTTAGATTTATCTATTTGAGACACTGCAGGCTTTCCCAAAGCCTCGGCAGGTTACACATAAAAAAAAAAAAAAATAGACTGACTGAAATTCCAGATTCTAAAAAATAAAAAAAAAATACAATGCCACACGCAAAAAAAAAACAAAAAAAAACAATGAGCTTTTACAAAGTGGAAGTATGGAATGACAGGATACTGCAAATATAGGAGCAAAAAAGGGGGATCGGTAGCCGACCTCGTCGACGCACCGCAGCTTGGAGCACGCGAAGCGAACGCCAGTGCTGCAGAACCCACATACCCCTTTGCCCGTTTGCATCTGGACGAGCATCGTACCAGCGTGCATATCGCTACTGCATGGTGTACGTTTGAGCCCTCCGGCTAGCAGTGGTACCGGCTAGATCCCCCCCAAGGCAAACTAACGTGCCACCCTCGAAATACGCCCGCACCAGAATTATTATTATCGAAAGTGGAAAACATGTAGCAACGTAACGTAGAAATTGCAGGTACGACCTGTCACAAACGAAATGTGAGTGGTGGGACGCATGCTTTCGATACGTGCCGCGCTCCCTAGAGAGCCGCGGGAATTGACGAAACTAGGAGTGGGTGCTGCGAAGGTGAGCGCCTACTAGAACGTGCAGTTCCTCGCAGCCTCCTTCCCCGCTGTACAATATTGCTAGTCCCCGGGGAGCTCCGAGTGGTGTGGCGGGCATTGGAGGTCACGTGCTCCGCCATTAGCATTTCGTTAAAGCACGACAGTACACTAACTTGTGACGTGCATTGCAGTGAGGTTAGCATCAGACATTTTGGTTTGGGTGAATGAATGGCCAGTGGTTGTTTGGCTTTCAGGAGGCGAAGCTGAGATCGCAGCTTCCAGTGGCAGACTTCAAGGTGTATGTGACGGGGGGCACCCGGGTCACGAGCAAGCGCTCCGAGAGCATCTGCTGGTTAGTGTCTTCCTGCGACAGCACTCATTCTCGAACATTCATGATAGGGGTTAAGACACACCAAAAATAAAATGTGAGATAACGAGACTGCTAGGGCCCATTGCATGTTCCTATAATCTTGCTAAATTTGTTTCGAAATTGGCCCGATTGTTTCCTGGATAAATCGATTTATATGCGGGTCCCTCGGAGGGGCGGAGCGGGAGGCTGGCTATGTAGCCAGCCTCCCGCGCGGCGTTCCCTTGCACACACTCACAGACTTGGCTCTCTTGGCGTCTCGAGCTTCAGCTTCCTCGTTTACTTTCCGCGTTTTGAGCATGGGGTCCTTGACAATTACGTCTACGACGTCACTCGCCTCATCAAAGTGTTCGACATTGATCGCAGCAGCGATGAGAGGGATCGCTATTAAGAGATGTTGGAAGCTGTTCATTTTGACTGGGACCCGCTGGCGACCAGCTCCAGCGACGGCGAGTTACCGACAAACTCGTTGTGGTCACCGTCGTCCGGGAATACCTCGCAGGCGCATGCAGGGTGGAAGGTCGACGGGCCGGGGGCGAGAGCGAGAATAGCGTTCGGGTTACCGAGTTGCGTGAGCGGTTTTGGTCGTACCGCGGCAAGGAGAGCTTGGGCGATCATGGGGGCGCCTAGAATGAGAGAGTGTTCGTGATCACTTGGTTTATGGACACCATGGTGTAACTAACTTGGGCAGTGTCGCCTGGTCGCTGGATGAAAATGACAAAAATTCGTAAATTGATTATTGCAATTCCTAAAGCTCTAAAAATCGTGTAACTTGGTGTATATACTAAGTAGCCTATGAGCATTCCATTTCAAGAATAATCTATCCGTTTAATTTTTGTGTCATAACCGCTTTAAAGCAATGCTTCATCTAATATCTCAATCTTATGGATGGAGTTGATATACGCCGTGCATTTCTGCAGGCAGCATTCTTTAAAGCTTGTGTTGAACGTTCTATTTTTTTTTTTTTTTTGTGTTATTACGCTATTTTATTCCAAATTCTCTCCTTTTTTTTACGATGATGGGCACATCCTGGAATTTTTGCTTCATCCCATAAACTGTGAGAATGCTACCTCCAGACACCGGCGTTTGGTGTTTGTGTTGGAACATTTAGTAGACACCACCATGGTAGCGACAAAGTTTTACCACGGCAGCAGCCAGCTTAGCGTTTACTACTTGTTAAATGGCGCGGTAGTAGAACGTCCGTTCGGTTCTCGTCGGGGCACGTTTAGAATTTCATTCTCCTCAATTTACCGCGCTATTGTACATATTGTCCTATGAAATATGTATTGCACATTCCGTCACACTTTTCTCAGAAATCCCAGCCCTTCAAGGCGTTCCACATTAAAAAACGCACAAAAACCTGTGGTTCTCAATCCTCAAATGGGGGTCCTTAAAAGGGAACTCCGGCGATTTTTTGAGCAACCCCAACTAACTACATTTTCGAAATCGTTGTCCTTTACTCTTTCCGGTATGCTATTTATAGTATCGCGAAATTCAGAATAGTTATTGTGAAATCTGCAAATGAAAATGACGCCAAAACGAAGATTCGAGTATACCCGTGCTTTTCATTACCGTGACGTCACGGGTAGGCCGGCTTGCAGTTCGAGCGGGCAGTCTAAAAATGAACTATGCCGAGCATTTGTATCGTGCTGCTGCGCGGGAGCTGGAGTAACTTTCCGAAGCATTCATTTAACACCATAAAACTGTTTGTAATCAGTTGGGAACAAAGTTTACAGCCCAAAGCGTGAACCCCTGCCTACCTATGACGTCACTTTTTCAATGTTGCCAGTAGAGCTTTTCAGTATGAAAAACACGATGAGGACCAAAATTGTAAATTCTGTAACTTCGCGAAAACAAGTTATTTTGTCCAAATATTTGAATTACTAGTTCAGCGATGTTTGTTGGTGTTTTTTGCAAGTTTTTAGGCAAATCGGGGGCTAGGAAGAAAACGACGGAGTACCCCTTTAAGGGACCCCGAAGGCATCTAGCGCTCGCAAAGCGCTGGACGTTCGGTCGAGCCGGGCAATAAACATTTTCTTGATTGATTCTGGATGTTTTACGAAGCTAAATAGACACAAACCATGTGCACCGAGTGATCAGGGTTGATTATTTTCTGTTGTAGACCTTCCAACTTGATTTGCACGCATGTTTGTTTTTCCATTTACCTTTTCGTCATTGTAGTCGTCCCCCATCACTTTTGCCGATCCAGAAAGGTTCCCAAACACCATTATCTTTTCTGGCAGAGAGTTTTAATCCCCTCTCTGTCCGAGGTTTGCCGTAAGCTCTGGCGGTTGTCGGGAGCCAGTGGGAATGTCGAGTGGCGTGGATGCCCCTGTGTGACAAGGTGCGACGTGATTTGCAGTGCCATAGGCCAGGAGCTGGCACTGCTCAAGTTTGTGAGCCTGTGCACCTGCGGCTTCTATGGCGTCGAAGAGCTGGTGGCCAGGAGTTTTAGCGAGGAGCGCTCCCTCACGGAGAAGCCCTGCCCGCGTGTCTTCCATGTCGTGCCCGAGAGGGATAAGAAGGTAGGCTCTTGGTCTTCCTCTTTCTATCCGTAAATGTATTTATATCTGGCTATCTATATTCAGATAAAGGTATATGGAACTCACTACCACCTCGCTCCAAGCCATAGAGTTGTTATTATGTACGCTAGAGGTTCAACTTGCACTAGTGTCTATGCGACTTCCGTGACGCAAATTGAAGCAGACAGCAGCCAGTCTACTTTGGCTGTGCTCCTGCGCATTGCTATGAAAAAAGGTACGCTCATTTTGTCTCTTCGCCAAAAAATAATGTGGAACACTTTTGTTATTCGGGTCGTACCAAGTACGTAGTATGTACCATTATTGACATTGTAAAAGTACAATTGCTTTAGTTAGTGCATCTTCTTCATCAGCAAACATTGTTTAACTTTGCTATATTTCAGGCCTAAACCTGTTTTCCACAGCATGTGTGTAAAAACAAGCGATGATTCTAAGTAAAATAACAACCAGAAGGAATGTAGAGTGTGTTCAAGGCTTGCCAGCATTCCGGTGATGCTTATATAGTGCTAATATGCCAGTCCTAACACTATATGAGCATCTTTATCAGCGGTTAAAAACATTCAAAATGTAAAGAATAAAGTGTGCAGGCTATGAAAGGGGTCTAGTTCTCTTTTCTATGCCCGGCAACTTTTATCAGGCACTTGTTATCAAAGTTTTCAAGCACGCAGATGATGTTCTGAATGTAGAACAACCATCTTCACACAGAGCAGAAAGAATAAAGCGGTAGTTATTGAAAATTGAACTACCGTATTTACTCGCATACTGAACGCGCTCACGTAATGAATGCACCCCCCACAACGGGCATCAATATTTGGACTTTTTTTTCTCATGTAATCAACGCACCTCCAATTTTCAGCTTGCGAGTCTCGACTTGCGTCCAATTTAGCTAGCCACCAAGCCAATTTTCTTTTTCCGCCAAGCGGTCAGGTCAAGTCAAGCCAAGCCAAGCCGCTCCCGTAATGGCCGCAAGTGCATAGTTGCGGTAGTTGCTGAAGTAATCAACCATGAAACCGAGCGTCGCGCACACTTGATGAAGCTTGGGTCAAGGAATTGCCGAGCCCAGGACATTCTTCGCCTATGGGATGAACTGATGTCAACAAACAAGCCGTTGTCTGTGGTCTGCTTTCGGACATAGAAATCGTGAAAGTGGTTAGGCCTAATTTCACATACTCCGGGTCAATGCATTTATTCAAAATACAACCGTTTCCAAGTTTCGTTCATGGAGACAGCCGTCTCCGTGAACAAAACTTGGTCCGTGCGAGCGGGCTTCGGGGGTGAGCGGTTGGACTTCGTACGAGTTCTTTTACGGATAGTCGCAGATTATACCTGAGCGTGCTCACTGGATACTAGCAATATATATCGCCTAAGAACGGTCGTGTTGCTTTCCGTGCTAAATGAGTTTTGTAGGGCGCTTTTCTTTTGGCAAAAGGCACCCCGAAAACGCCCTAAAAAGGTTTGCAATGTATAAAGCATGGTTCCTGTGGCGCGCCCCCGAATAGCCGTGGGTGCGCCTCCATCACTGGAGACGTGCCACGTACCTTGCTGTCTCATATTGGCACCTAATAGGACATTTACACGAAGTGTGTAAATGCAAAAATTTTACCCCGTATAGTGAACAGATTTGTGTCAATTTTTCGGTAAAAAAAGTGTGTTGATTATGCGAGTAAATACAGTATATTATGTGGTCTTCAATTTATTTTGATTGTTAAGCACGGAGTTACTGCCAAGTTCTTGCCATCCCTCTTGGTTTTCCAGATGTCCTTCGTTCGTTTGGCACGTATATCCCCCATGCTGAAAAGTGCCGACATTGTGTTCGTGCTGACAGTGTCTGACAGTGCACATAAATACATATACAAAGCCGTTTTAGCACTTTTTTTAATGCAATGAAGTGGAAAGAAAAAATCGTGAGCCATTCCACTCTGTCAAGGTGGATGACCAGCGATGCTGTTTAGCACACCGACACAGACGTGACACAGAATTCAGAGTATGCTGCATTAAAGTTGTCCAATTTAGCAGCATGGTACCAGCGTCTTTTGATGCGTTCTCTGCCCCGCAATGTTCGTCATCTTGCCTGGTTTGCCGCAGACGCTTGTTGTTTTGTGCACAATCTTCATCGGTGGTGTTTGCCACCTGCCACCGCCGCTGCCATTCTTGGTGCCGTTCCCGCCGTTGCTCTTCGTAGGTGCATTGCTCTTTGGGTGTCCAGACTATACGCGGCCTCCCCATTACGACGAGAGAAGGGAAATAGACCTATTGCTAAATCACCCAAGCACCAAGGAGAATGCAGGGAATGATGTTCCACACGCCACACATGCCGGCGTCTGCAGAAGTAACTATTCGAAAGCAAGAGCCTAGAACGAATGGCATTTTGCAAGCCCGTTCGTCAAAGCTTTATTTTGGTTATTTACTTCAAATCTTTTATACTGGGAAGGCGTGCAGCAGTGCGAGCATAGAGTTCTTGGTCATGCACACTAAAAGTCCACGGAACCCTAGCCATGAACAGCTTGGCTGTAAAAAATGCTGTAACTGACCATTTATTTAATCTGCCTGACTGAGAAATCTTCCAAGCTACCTAGTACGTACGAATCATTCGGGATATTTGCTCTTATAATCGAGCATAAGGAGAGAATGCACTCACTTTTTCCCATAGAAATGCATTACAAGAAGTCAATTTTCAACTGGTTGCTGTCTCCTTCAATTTGCAACAGTACACTGGTGCCACTTGAACCTGTAGCATATATTATAATAATTCTATGCTTTAGGCATCCCTGATGGCATCTGTTGGCACAAGCAAGTATGCTGTTGAAGTGTGTGCGCGAGTGTATATTCGTCATCATACTTTCGCCTTCAACTGCACGATCTATTTTCGACCTCGTCTTTCCCATTTGCTCATCTGTCCATATAGTACTACAGATCTTCACCCTACCGTAACACGGCACCACGGGCTTTCTCCGCATGGACCACTGGCCTTTGTGCAGCGTCGAGGCTGTCCCCAGCAACGAAGTATCCTCAATAAGTACAGCCACCATGATATGGAAGCTTGAGATAGCTCGTCTTCGATGATTGTGGGATGGCGGTATCTGTCATCTTTGGCACTCTCCGATAGGTTTCATTTTGATGACTACCCGTAAGGATACCTCAAGTTCGTCATCAAGTTTAGGCATCTCGTGAAAATTCCGTGCTCAACAGACAACACCAAGTGGCCTTAGACTTTTGCTACGTCGTTCAAATACACACCGACTTGACTCTGTTACGTTGCGGGTGGCACGTCGGGCACTCTTACGGCCTGGGGCTGTGGGCGAGAGTCGCTATGCAGGAATCCTGCGTTGTATTGAAACAACTAAAACCAGCTTTCTTGTCAGAACGCTGCAACTGGGGCTGTACCAAAAGACCCATGAAAGGTTTGGAGATCAGTTTTCGTGCGTTTTCTGCCAGCTCGGTTCGCCCAAGAACGTGGACAGGTGCCACAAAAAGGGAACGCTAGACACTGTTGGGCTACAATTGCTTGAGCGGGAAGCACCTTGGGTGGAATTCACGGACGCTCGTGGTCAGTGGCGTCGCTAAGGTAGGCGGCACCTGGGGCGGTGGCATGTTGCGACACCCCCTTCTCTTTTCACTGCCCAGTTGCACACCCCTAAGTGTTGCACCCAAAACAACATGCCTTCCCCCCACCCCCCCACCCACACCCCCTTATGATGCTTGTGGTCCTCAAATTTAATTGTTTTGTTTCAGCATGAACACGGGAAAACCGTCAAGCTGTCCGGACCACCCGCAGACCACGTTCAGTGTGTCTTCGCGATCAAACGATCGTCCGATTGTTCCAACTGTTGTCTGTTCTTTCGAACTCGTTCTAATAGACCCTTTGCAAAAACCCCAAATGCCTGCGAATTATGGGAGTCTTCGGTACGCCCCTGCCTTCATCTTTCCTCCGCTACCTTGTGACTTACGCGAACAGGCGCAGGCTACCGAGAGAATAATGCTCGAGCGGCCAAGTCGGACCAGCGCGTGGAAATGGGGGACAGGGTATCGCGTTGGTTAGCTCGCAAGGTTGCCCCTTTCTCGTCCCTCTCCTTTGTTCCGGCTCCGTCATCTTCTACATGACGCCGAGTCAAACCTGGTCGAACCCTGCCACTGTTGTGGTGCACATTAAGTGAATTGGGTGACACTTTAAGACGTGAGGGTAACTTGCGAAGCGTATTCAAATAAGTGAACAGCACGGCGCAGACAAGAGTCGACCCGGGTACTACAAGCAGCACAGGTACGGTACACCGCCAACGACGTACTGGCAGATGGCGGACGGCGGCAGCAGCCGCTGCTGGCGGTGGCTGCCGCGACTCATGCCCACTCACTCAGATGCGACGAGAAAGCATGTGATCTGTACCCAAGGTTCCCAAAATCCCCCTCCGTCGAGGCACTGTACATATTGTAAGGTCAGGCCTGTTGTCGCCTGCTCGTTCAAATGAAGACAGCCAGTAGACCAAAGGTTACGATAAGAAGTGCAGGACTCAAAAGACTCATAAGCTTGAAGGTTTTTGGGGGTAAGTAGGCTCGGTGTAAGTGGTAGGTACAAGGAGGTGTTGATCATTGTTACCAGTGGCGATCACCGACTTGCTATGCCCAGTTCACTCTCTCCGACTCTGCTTGCGACTTTCAGTATAGACGTCGAGAATTGCAGCTACCGTCCATGCTTTTGCAGCCCGAGCGATGTCGTGACTGAAACTAGCGAGCAGAATTTCTTTATGTGAATCGGGCTTTGGCATCCATTCTGTGGCGCCTCATGCCACATTATTTACGTGAACTTTCGTGGCTTACAAGTTTCATTAATTTCGCTCAGGCCACTGAAGTAGCCAGACATTGCTACGAAGACATGTAATCAACAATTCCAACATGAAAAAGAGCATGGGGACGCGGTGCTTCTTGCCCACACCACGTCGTGCAGGCACGCCGCTAGGGGCGCTCCGGTTTGTTCAAAAACATGAGTCGGTGTATATCTGGCGCAAAATTTTATCTGAGGAAAAGTGCAGTTGGGTGAAGCAAAATTTAAGCATGTCTCGATCGTGTTGGACAAACTCGCAGACACACAAAATTTCTTTAGAATAACGCTGCCTGTGTGTGCGTGATTTTAACAAGGTCTCATGACTGCAATGTCATAACATTGTGGTGTTACGCAACAACACGGTGTTTTCCTGTGTGCGCGTGACTTCACGAGGTCTCATGACTGCAACGTCATAACGTGATGTTACGCAACACCACGGTATTGCCTGTGTGCCCGTGACTTTACGAGGTCTCATGACTGCAACGTCATAACGTTGTGGTGTTACACAACACCACGGTGTTTGCCTGTGTGTGTGTGACTTCACAAGGTCTCATGACTGCAACGTCATAATGTTGTGGCATTACACAACACCACGGTGTTGCCTGTGTGCGCGTGACTTCACGAGGTCTCATGACTGCAACGTCATAACGTTGTGGTGTTACACAACACCACGGTGTTGCCTGTGTGCGCGTGACTTCACGAGGTCTCATGACTGCAACGTCATAATGTTGTGGTGTTACACAACACCACGGTGTTGCCTGTGTGTGCATGACTTCACGAGGTCTTATGACTGCAACGTCATAATGTTGTGGTATTACACAACACCACGGTGTTGCCTGTGTGCGCGTGACTTCACAAACTCTCATGACTGCAACGTCATAACGTTGTGGTGTTATGCAACATCACGGTATTGCCTGTGTGCCCGGGACTTCACAGGGTCTCATGGCTGCAACGTCATAACGTTGTGGTGTTACGCAACACCACGGTGTTGTCGCCACGCGGTATTAGGACGTCGTAACATCAACAGCACAGACTCGCGTGACATCGCAAAGTCACAGATCTGCGTTATGATGTCCTTAAGTCTGTAGCGACGCCCTGACGTCAAGGTCATATAAGCAATATAGACCCCAATGGGGCTATATCAGTCTCGTGCACTTGACTCGAAAAAAGTAACCGATTACAGTTACTCTCGCTTTATAAGTATTCAGTTAGATCGCCGGATTACTCGAGGAGACAAGTAGGTAATTGGCCGTTACTTGAAAAAGCTGCTTTTCCGATAACTTAAGATTTTTAAAAGGACATACTTTCTGCCAGTTTCAAAAGGGGCCTTTTGTGCCATTCATTATTGGATTAGGATCAGCAAATTACAATTTTTTTCTATTTCGGTAAATCATCCTTCTGTCGGAGACTTTGCTCCAGGATACCTCGCTAGGAAACTTGTGTAAACATCAAAAAAGGAAAACCAGTAAACATTATTTTAGTACTTCGAAATATTGCTCCTGCGATTACTTTTTAATTTCAAATTAATCATAACATTACGAAGGTACTCCCAATAATTAATTGATTGTGAGTAATTTGATTACTCGCAATGAGTAGCCTACATGTCTGGGCTATAGACCTTTTCATCCTCCTCCGCATGGGCGCTGCCATCTTGGAATCACGTGACGCGGCAGCCATCAGGTTGCTTCAACTTTCTGTTCCGCTCTCCCCTCTGTGCCTTGGCGGATGCGTTGTATTCGTGTTTTTCTTCGCGTTTCACCTTGCTTTCTTGCCTTATTTCGAAAACTGTAGTCCAATACGTCTACTCGACAACTAAGACATCATGAGGGTTCAAAGGTCCTTATGACAACTGAGGTTTGTTTACTAATAGTAGCGGAACATTTTCAGTAAGAAGCGCGCATATTCATATCACGCATTTTGGATCGGAAGGAGCGCAAGGAGATTATCTGCATTTCCTGAAAGTATCGTTCTTTGTATTCATAATATATTTTCTTTTGATTTTCTTTTTATTTTCTTTTGATTATTTGACGAAACTCGCGGAGGAGATAGACAACGAACGTTTAGCTTGCAGTTTATCTGAGGCTAGAAGTAATGGTACGTCAACATCAGGCGATTTGTTTGTTCATAATATCAGACCTACATGTGTATGTGGTTCTCATTTCTTTTTTGCAACGTAAATATTCGGTTGGTCGGTTTACTTATGAAGTTTAATAAATTGTATAATGGTGCTCGCTCCCATTTCGACAGTCATTTAAGTGATTTATGGATTATATTCAGATAACCAGTGCCATCCACATAATTTATTTTAGCACAAAGGTTGGGACTTCCCGCTTAAGAAGCTGCCACAGACACTTAATAATAAGGGGTTTAGAGTAGCGTGAACTAAGAAATAACGTCGCTTCTATTTGGAAATCCAAAACTCGGTTTAGGTTCGGCGCATCCGCAATAATGACGACGCTTTTTTTTTTTTGCGCACGTTGGTTTAATATTTGCCAGTATCTAGAATCCGCAATATTTGCGAAAAAAAAAAGACGTCAGCATAGCAATTACTTGAGTCCAGGATTGTCGATGGCAAATAAAAGTTCACTTTTGGTGGCTGCCGACGCCGAAATTTACAAAGCAAATCTGTTCAAACAAATAAATGTTTGTTCACACAGGTTCATGAAGTGGTGCCAAGCGCTTGAATTCAGCCAAACTTTCCTATGTATATCTCCTCCTGCGCCCTTTAATTTTAATTGGCCAATTTTACGGAAGACAAATGCCAGATTTAGTTTGACGGGCCTGTCACTTGTCTCATATCTTGAGTAAGCAAATATTCATATGAAAATAATTTATTTCCTAGGGCCAATATCGCGAAATGCTGCTAATGAGTTCTTTAGCGAGGTTGATAATTTAAGAAATTTGCTACTCGGCCTCTCAAAACATGCACAAGTACTCAATTAAAAAAGGGAATGAGACGATACTACTTGTTTATATCAATAATCTGCTTCATTACACAATATGTTTTTAGTCTGCGAAGTTCACTAAAGGTTGGGTGCCCACGAAAACCCAAGAGTGAGTAGTAAATTCGCGAGGTCAACTGTTCTGGTCGATTCAGCACAATGCTAATCAAGCTGTCGATATGCTTCTTTACATTCCCGTGTTAGTCTCTTCAATAGTTTGCTTTCCTGGAAACTGGTGTCATCGGGTACGGCCCTAGACGATGGTAATCTTCCCTGTACATCGGTCAGGCGTTTCGCAACCGACCATAATCAAATCAAATGAGTTGGCAAAAAAAAAAACGCAATTTAGGCTAAAATACGCCTCATAGTCCTAAAAGTGGTTCAATACCACTGTTTCATTGGTTGTGTGCTACAAGGAAAATAATCGTAACACAAAATTAAGCAAAAACAACGTAAAACAGCAACATAGCCGCATTCACGTTGAAACCGAAACCAATCAAATTGAAGCAACCTAATGGATGGATGGATGGATGGATGAATACGGCTGAGCCCTTTGGATCGGGCAGTAGCTTACGCCACCTAGCCAAGCGCCGGCACCGAGCGCATCAGCGCCCTCTATCCGCGGGTGAGGCAACTACTAAAATGAAAAGGTCTATATCGCTTATTGCCACGTGCGCCTCCGAGCAAGCGCGCCCGTGGTCTAACGGTCATCGTGCTTGACTTCCACGCAAAGGGCTAAGGTTCGATGCCTGGGAACGGACGCACCTTTTTGTTATTTCTGTGAATGTCGCATTCTGGTAAACTGGAGAACCCTGTTGCTCGTTCGAGGACTTTCTACGCGCCGAACCTTCTAAGCCGATTGTTCCAGAAGCCCACGCGTGTACACCAGGGGCTCTGCCTGCGAGTCGCAGTTAGTCTCACCCCAGCGCTCGAACCTGCTGCTTGCCGACTTCGATGCCCGCGGCGCTTCAGTGTTATCTTCTGTTTTCTTTTTGTTTTGGTGCAAGTTCGCTGCATTGAACGTTTAGTTTCTTTCTTTACCGCTTCATTGATTGTCATACGTGACAGTACGGCCTTTACTCATGCAATGGTTGGTTGCAACGGTGGGGCTTAACGCGCCACTTTTTGTCATAAAGCCTGACCCTAAAACATTTTGTGCTGAAACGATATGGGGCAGATGTTCTTAATTATTCTTAATTACCACAGGACTGGAGTAAAAAAGCCTACCAGAGACCGGACGGAACCTTTGGTGGCATCCCGCACGGCCAAGTGAAGATTGTGGGCAGCTCAATGGCCGAGCGTGACTCTGTGATTGCGCGGGTGTTTCAGGTCTGCATACTGGTTGAAGGTGAGTTTCATTACCTCAGGTCCTGCATTACCTGGGAGCCTCCCAAACTTTGACCATTTCGTACAGTTGATAGAAAAATCTCCCGAAAAACACAAATTAAGCTCCCCCCCCCGCCCCTTTGCGCACTTATACAATAAGTATTTGCCGTTGCAACAGACGGCAGCAATGATAGCAAGGCCCGGCTGTATCTCGCTAGCGTTCAAGACAAAATGGTCAGATGTCTATTTTTTTTTTTTAGTATATCACCGCACGCGCAGATGGCCAAGTAGGCAGCGCGGCTGTGGCCTAACGTTTATCGTGTTTGCTTCCTGTGCGAAGAGCCAGGGTTCGATTCCTCAGAACGACGTGTCTTTCATTAATTCTTGCAATTTAGTGTTCTGGTACATTCGAAAACTCTGTTGCTTGTTCGAGGTACGAATGTTCTAGTCGCCGAACCTTCTAGGCGTGCACATAAGGAGCTCCGTGTGGCGATTCGCAGTCAGTCTTGCCCCAGCGTTCGATCTAGCTGTTACGCCTACTTCGACGCCTGCAACGCTCTGTTGTTATCTTCTGTTCACTTTTTATTTTGGGCACAAGTTTGCCCCCATTAAACGTTTCAGTTTCGTCAGTTATTCCTTGTTTGTCACCTCATCATTTGTGACAATATGGTACCTGATGCTTACTGCCAGCACACACTGGAAAAAAAAGAAAAGCGGATAACAAAATGCCGTTATAGAGAACTTTTGATGCCAAGAGCTCATGCCAAGAGACGCGCTTTCGCTCCGTAACAAAAAAGAAACAAAAGTGTTAGGAACAAAAGGGTCAGATGTCTATTTTGTTTTTGTAGTACCCAATGCTCACGGCAGGCGCTTTCTCTAAAAATAAAATAGCCGTTAACAAAATGCCATTGTAGCTCTGTCAATGCCAAGAGCTCGTGCCGTGAGACGCACTTTCACTCAATCTGGAACAAAAAAGAAACAAATGCATTGAGAACAAAATGGTTGGATGTCTATTTTTGTTTCTAACACTTTTTTTCGCTCACCCCACAGTCATGAATGCAATGCCAATGCCAAACGACTTGGCCGTGACATGCCACAGCCATCACTGTGACTGTACTGTAGATTAGCACAGGACTGCTTAATCTTTTTTTCAAAGGGAACTGAGAATCGTGTTGGTTTAATGAAAACTGACGCTGAAAGAATAAAACAAACATTTGAGAAGAACGAGCAATCTTTCATCTTTCAGATGAAGGATGGGTCGTTCGTCCCAAATGTGTTTTTTTCTTTCGGTGCCAGTTTTTTTTTTTCATACTCTAATTTGTAGAGTGCTGTTTCGTATTCGTGCTTTTGCGACTCCTTGCTGTCTTGAGACTGTTTTGGCCGTCCCGCTTTGACATACACTGCTTGGATGCATGCTGTTTTGATATTGTTCTGACTGTCCGGTTTTCATTGTGCTTTTCTGACATGTGCTGTTCTGTCTCGTGCTGGTCTGTGGTGGTGCATGCAGCTGCAACGTGTTGTCTGCTTTTTTCAGCCGAGTCGGTTGCAGCTGCTTGCTTGCTTGCAGGAGACGAGTGCACTGCGAGACGTGTGGGCGAGTTTGTATGGAACGACAAGCCGGTCATTCCCGTCTTCTGCACGGGAAAGGCTGCGGCGGGGGAGCACAACTCCTCCACGGGCGTCGACTCGACCACTCTGCGCTCCATCTGTGAGGTATGCTGGCACTAAAAGCGCCGAAGGACGACGCAACACACACGCGGCTGAAATTTTTTAACCGAACCCCCAATCCCAAAATTTGGTCATCCGTTCATTTCCCGCTAACTTTAGCGGGGAAACTGAATTGCTGTTCAGGTCACGTGACGTCGAATTTTTCGTTTCAACTTCATTATTACAGCTTTGTGGTCGGTGAAATGCAGAGCCAGTGGTTCTTCTCATCCTTTCTCATCGTTTTCATCCATGTCAGAAAGAGAATGTGTGGTATGGAACGTGGTTATATATGCATTTGAGCATTTGACCGCAGCGCCCTCTCGTCTATAAACGTTGAGCCAATGCATGCAAAGTTTAACGCGATTATATATGCATTTGACCGCAGCACCTTCTGCTGTATAGACGTTGAGCGGCTACATGCAACGTTTCATCCATGACATCCCCAGCTCTTGAGTTACTACCACATCTCAGAGCCCCCTACTCGTCCCGCAGTAGTGGCCGAGTGGTTAAGGCGATAGGCTAGAAATCCATTGGGGTCTCCCCGCACAGGCTCGAATCCTGTCGACTGCGCAACCATTTTTTTCTTTTTTTAAGAAGACCGGTGGGATGGCAGTCGATGTGAGCACGGACGCCGGACGAAGAAGGCTAGACCCTAAGGAACTTCGCCCCCAAAACAAAGGGTCTTAGCAAAGATGGACAGCTCATTCGATCATTCGTCAGTTTACAAAGTTGTATTATGCCCCATTTTAAGGGTTAATGTCTTTGCAAAAAAACTAATTGTACACCGTAGAGACATAGTGCCTCCATCGAGCGACTACAAGGTTTATGCAGCTTTGCAAATGTGTCAAAAGTTTAGGAAGCAACGTTACATGCTCTTTTGCATTTACTCCTCGCAGAACCCGCCGCCTGGAGTGGACTGTAATACATGGTTCCTCCTCAAGAACAGCTCCTCGAGCCCCGAAGACATTGGCAAGGCCGTCAGGAAAATCGTCACAAACGTCTACCGGCAGACAAAGAAACGCCCCACCGAACTCCCCGAAGTTTTGAAGAAAGTTAGCAGACCGGGCTGACATTGTACGTTTGAATTGACGCAAGATGTGAGATGCGCACAATTGGTTGAAGTTACTGCAAGTGATGGTCGAAGCTGTGCGGTGGTGCCTGGCAAGCGTCCCTGGCCATGTTTTCCATTCCATACTCAGACTGGCCCGGCAAGAAAGGATGTGCTACAGGCCGGGCGGTTGATTGTGGAAGCGCCGAATTGGCAGACGGCGTTGCAGCCCATGACGTCCGGAGTTTCCGTCGACCGACCGGTTGTAGACAGGGCTGCGGTACCGTGCCGCTGCTAGGATTATTGGGATCGACGGCTTTAATCGGCTGCGACAGGGAATGAAAAAAGAAGTAGAAAACCAGTTGGAGACGTGCTCCAGAGGTTGTGTGTCGACTTGAAATACTGCCAAGGAGTAACAATCTGGAAGGGAGCACACGTTCCTGGCGAGGGGGTGTCTACGCGGACCTTCAATCTGTGTTCGGGTACATGCAGAGTTTATTTTACATTTCTAGGCCCGTTGATTTGTGGCATCGACTTTGTTAACTATGCACAGGCACGTATCGATCAATCTCGTGGCTGCACCAGATACGGTTAGTTTCACCTCTTCCATTTTTTATGCATTTCGAGGATTGCTCAAAGTATTAATGCCCTTTTGCACATGTTGAATGTGATGTACCCATTCCTTTTTATATTGCATACATGCTTTGGGGTATTTTGCTCATCCTTTTATTGTTTTGTTGACGTTTTCATATTGTGCGTTTACAGCATCCAAAGTATTTTATTTTTATTTAATTTGTACGAGCGTAAGAGCTTGTTCATTTATCGTACGATTGATTTTAATGATTGTTTGCTCTGCCAGCATTCAGTGACAGTGGCCATGTTCTTTTTGTTGCGCAGAAGCGTTAAAACACTTGTAAAATTGTGCGGCACATTGTATTTAGTATTTAGACGATGCATTTCACTTCCGCCGATTACCATTGCACCTTGCTGTTAGGGTCTGAATAAAATATGCAATACCAGTTTGTTTTGTTTGAGAAAAGAGAAATACAGCTTGAGAATGTTCCTGGGTGGGGATGGTACTCACATTGGTGAGTGATGTTTTTTGCCTAGAACAATGGTGTTTTAGCGAAAAGCAGCATTCCTTTTTGCATTTAGTGTTTACGCACAATGACTGAGATGACTAGAGAACCACCAGTATAGGGAGATCTGTACTCTATAAGCATAATATTTTATTTTTGGTCGCGATTATATTTGTAGTTTTTACATGCCTTCTACATTTCTGGAAAGTGCAGGCCATGTACTGAAAGGATGGCCCTTTGCTGTCACTTGGTGGAACAGCCTTCACTGTAATCAAGATGATGCAGAGCCGTATATTGGGAGAGTTTGGCCAGTGGGTGTGGCAACGAAGGCGCTCAAGAGGAGAAAAGTGAAGGAAAGGGAGGAGGACGCTGAAGGAGCGAGAGAGGAAAGAGGGAGCAAAGAGGAGACAACTGCCATTTTGACGCAACACGCTTTCTGTACAGAGCACTGTTGAAGCCACGCGTGGTCTGCTACGAGCAGACTTCTTTTTCGCCCGAATAAAAGTTTGCAGTCAGACGTTGAGAAAACTTCATTCGTTAGCTTTTTGACCGACCAAGGAATAACAGTATATCATTTTCTTGCCAGAGCCAGTAGTATAGAAGGAAATAATCGAAATTTAGATGCCGATCTCAGGCATTCCATCGTGCGAATGAAGCCGGGAGTTCACATGCATGCGCTCACACTTCTCACTCAGCGCCGTGGGCTGATTGGCTCACTGGGGAGGGGGGCATTACGGCGGCAAGATCATAAACTGGGCCAAACTCTCCCGATATACGTCTCTGAGATGATGTAGACTGGCCACTGCTTGAGATTTTGCGTTGTCTTATTCATTATTTTATTTCTCCGTGTGTTCAGGTGTAGATTATGAGGTCTCCTAATCTGCATGCTTTTGGTTTTTTCCTTTTTTTCCACCTGTTCTCTAAACATCTGCCGGGGAGGCTATGAAGATGGGGGGAGCGTGGGCTCGATCATCTTAAGTTTCGACCCTGTCCCTACCACTGCTGGGGGTCGTCAGAGTATGACAGTTCTACTCCTGCAATGCTTTTGTGTCTTTTGTCCAGACAAGGCTTCCTTTATCATGATTGCATGATGTCAGCATTTGAGGGATGGGCTTTTGCACGGCCCAATATGTGACTGGCCTGTGGTGTCGTCTCGCCATGCTGATGGTCCTTCATATGTGTCTTTGATGAGATTAAGATGGTGCGAAACAAATGCTGGAAGAAGTATGCACTCGGCAGCAAGACCACCGCAGCACCGCTACATAACCTATGCAACTGCACTTGGCGTATCGGCAGCCCCGAGTGTCTTGTTGCCGCCACCATCCTGGTGCTTCGTGCGGAATGGGTGCAACGCGGAGCGCAATTTCGTCGGCTTCTTGCACGGGGCTTGCGATGATGTCAAGCTCTTATTGGCCGATCGAAAAAAATAGTGGGTAGACCTCGAGGCATCTGACATCGAGATCTACCCACTATCCTTTCAATCAAAGCCAATAGGAGCTCGGCATCGTTTCGGCTTCACCGCAACTCCTGCGCAAGAAGCAGACAACTTGCTCTCCGCATAGACCTTTTTAGAAATTCAGTAGGCTCAATCGATTTACCCGCATTGGTACAGAAAACTATAGGGCAGTGTACTTCCAGTATGTGTGTTGACATACAGCTGGAAGTACACCGCCCTACACTTTTCTGCACTGATGCAGGAGGTAAATAGAAGGAGCCTAGTGCCACCTATAGTCTAACTGTTGGTCCGCTAATGGCGGTTCATACGTTATATGGCAGACGTACAAATGTGGCAGTGCTTTTCGCTGTACAGTTTTTTCTTTATTCGTTTCAGCCTCGATGCTGACAAGAAAATACCCCTCTCTGCGAGGGACTTGCCTAAGTAAAACTTTATCAAATTCACCACATCAAGGAGTGCGAAAGGAACCCCGACGTGGCATGTTACGAATTGTCTGATGCATATTGAATACGGGCATGTCAAAGGTTTGCTTGACAACCTCCAATTTGTAGTGTACGTAGGCTTAGAAGTTTCATCATGCTCTCATCAAATAACAAATAGCGAACTAACATCTCAACTGCCCAGGCTCTACCCAGTCTTCGAGTTAAGGCCAGTTCACAAATGCAGTTCAGCACTCAATTGACCCTGGAAAATGGCACTGATACAGCTCTCATTTGCACCTGACTTGTTGCCTTTATGGTTGCAGAGTAGTGCACGTGACTTATCGCTGACGTGCTGTTCCCCAGTGGTGTGTGGCGATGCAGCACAGACGCAAAACCAACAACTCGGCACAGCATCAGCGCCGATGTGACGCTGCCCTGTACGTATAAACGGGCCTTTACCCACATTGCGCCCCGTCTTTAACGTTTTCCTTCATGAGCCAGCAAGAGGCTGCCATTAGCATGGACAGATACTGAGTTCACTATGGTTGATTGAACACCATTTCATCAAAACACGTTTCAGACGGACACGTTTCATCAAAGCTTGGCTGGTGTAAGTGGAGCCTCAGTTTAGTGAAACGCTGTTTATCGAAAAAGGGTAGCCGCCTCGGTGGCTCCTAGGGAAAGTGCCTGCCTACAGGTCCCCAGGTGGCGGAATCGAATCCCGGTCAAGGTGCCTGCAATCTAACTGAGGCTTATTGTGGATATGGTGCTGTGTAACCAAGCTTTTGGTTGCGCATCATAAGATCCCCAGGTGGTAAGAAATTAATCCTCAGACCTCCGCTGGGGCAAGCCAGATGCTTGTCGTTGGTTTAGCACGTAAAACTCCCAAATTTGATTTTGATCGAAAAGGGGACACTGTTTAAAAAAATGCTCCCCTACTTCGCGCGTGTTAACCGACCGAGCCCCCCAGCCACAGACTGTCGCCGCTAAACGGCGACAGTTTGTAGCGGCTCATTACAAAAATGTTAACCCACCTGGCCCACCCGTACACACCGCTTCGCGGCGGCCGAATCGCTAAAAGGAGGCTCGTCGCCATGAAGCGACGTGTGCAAAGCGGGCTAGGCCAAAGCGGTGATGCACTGAGGAGCAGACGACTGACTGCAATCAGCTTGTCGTAATTTGTTCTCCGTCCAAAAAGTTTTACCAAACAAAACCAGATGCGGTGTGCGATGTGCCAACTGTGCATGCTGGAGTACTTCCGCTTGCTTTGTCTGGTAGGTTTAACGAGGGCAATGGGAAGGCAAGACCGGCGAGAAGTGCGACACTTTGATGGGTGGAGGATCGACCATGGACGAGCCGAGCCGGCAAATTGCTGCAGAAACCTTTCGCGGCGAGCTTCGCTCACCATCGTGCCCCTGCTAAATTACGTCCTGAAATTTGCAGTAACGTGAACTTATAAATGGTTCTTATAAATTTCCGGGAGCCAGTGAGCTGCCGAACCATGATTTCCGCCCCTTTGTTGCAACAGTGAGTGGACTTCTTCAAAGTGGAGTTTCCATTCACACACCTGCAACCGAGTAGGACGGAGAGAGACAAGACTGGTTTTTAAGCCTCTTGGAACGTCTTAGGACTGGATGCGCTGCTGTGGAGCTGGTTCTACGACGTTGCGAGAGGCTTTAAAGCCGGTCTTGTTTCTTTCTATCCTACTCGGTTGCAAAGGTGTGAACGGTGCTTTAGACAATGGACCTTTTCCGAGAAGCGTTCTGCGCACGCGCGAGCGCCCGATGCCAAGCGGCAGAAGTCGGAACAAAAAATCAAGCAAATTCGGAAAGAGGCTTTATATCAGCGAGTAGAACACGTAACTGCAGCATATATATACTTGTGTTACACAAAAAAAGAAAGTCGACGGAAAGGAAAACACGACGTTTGGGTGGACGTACGCCACAGATGCCCCTCTTTAAAGTCGCGTTGGGCAGACGCCGCTGCTCAGAGAGCGAAGAAACTACTAGCGTAGCTCCCATTATCGATTGGTAGCGCAGGTAGATCACTTCCTCGATTTTTAGTTTGTGCAGCCACCGCCTGGTGCCGTCGGTATGTGGAAAAGGTCCATTGAGTTGGTCCAACCTTGGAAAAACTCAATGGACCTTTTATACATACCGGCTGCACCAGGCAGTGACTGCACAAACTAAAAATCGAAGTGACCTACCTGCGCTACCAATCGGTAATGGGAGCTACGGTTTCTTCGCTCTCTGAGCTGCGGTGCGTGCTCAACGCGACTTTAAAGGGGGGCATTCGTGGCGTCCACCTGAACGTCGTGTTTTTCTTTCCGTCCATTTTCTTTTTTGTGTAACAATTATATATATGCTGCAATTACGTGTTCTACTCGCTGATCCACAGCCTCCTTCCGAATTTCCTCGATTTTTCGTGCCGACTTTCGCCGTTTGGCATCAAGTGCTCGTGCGTGCGCAGAACGTTTGTCGGAAAAGGTTTATTGCATGGTTCAATGTTGGTTGCGATGCATACTAGGGCTCGTTCACACATCTGCAACCGAGTACGACCGGGAGAGACAAGACCGGTTCTTAAGCCTCTTGTGACAAATTGGGACCGGGCGTGCTGCTGCAGAGCTGGTCCTAAGACGTAAGAGTCTTAGGACCAGCTAAGACGTCGTAAGAGAGACGTCTCTCTCGGTCGTTCTCGGTTGTAAATGTGTGAACAATCCTTGTGAAGTTGTGGGAACTTCACAATCTCGCACTAGTGTGCGGAAAATAATCGCTGTCAAAATTCATGTGTATTTAAATTTCTATTTATTTCTGGAGCTGAACGAAGTTGCGCACATCGTTACAACGCTGGTATCTACTTGAACGATAATTAGAGTAAAAAACATGATTTTATTAATTTATTGTTGTTGCACGACTACATAAAAGGCAGCAGGCGCAGACAGCTGCCGTGATCAGGAACAGAACCACGAGAGGACCTGGTACCTGGTGCCCCATAGACAACACAAAACAGTGGTCACGTGTGTTTCATGCCTTTCGGGCCCTTTGGCATTACTATGGTTTTTATTTTATTCGCATTGATAGGTGATATATGGCTGTTCATCTGTATCAGTTGGTCACATGACTGGTAAAAGCGCATTTAAAGAAAAAAATAAAACGCGTTTTGGTCTAAGTTACGCTGTTGTCGAGGCTTCTCTGACGTCTCTGACGGTCATGCACCGACTTTTCTGTGCGTGGCCGCGTGGCCGTCAGACGGCTGACGATGGCGAACGCACAACGCTCGGGCAACATTGAATCTGTGTTTTCGTTTGCTGGGTTTGCTGTCTGCACTAGGGGTGTCGCAAACTTTTGTCGAACCAGATTTTTTGGTCGACTGGGTCGAGCCGGTTCGACGAACCTTCGAACTTTTCACCAGATTCGACCGGTTCGACTTTGTGGACAGTGTGGCCAGACCTTGATATAAGTATGTCTAGGTTTGGAAAAAATTTTTTTTTTATGCAAAGGGTTATTTTATATTATGAACGGTTGTAATTAAAATAAACTAATTCAAATCACTGAAGAAGTTAATAACTTAATTTTTAGTACTGCATTAACTAAAATAGCCAATCAGCGCTGTACTTAATTCATCTCTTAGCCATTATGATCCAATCCGAAGCCAACTGGCCAGCTTGTCGCGCATGCGCACACGAGTCGAACCTCAATAAAAGTTCGTCGAACTTTCCACTAAAAGGTCGAAAAAGTCGAACCTGATCGAACTCGAACCGCGGCCGGTTCGCGACACCCCTAGTCTGCACTGTGGTACTGTGGTGTACACTAGAGCACTATATAGCTCCTACGGAGCAGAGTAGCGCAATCGTTTGAACCCCGTGTTTTGCCGACAACATATGGACAACATTGCCGACAGAGCGGCTTGGCGCGAGTCACGTGGCACTCAGGGTTCCAGGAGGCGGCCCGAGATCGAAACAACACGGCTGATTAAAAAATGAACGGCGAGTTCACACTTTTCAAAAATAGTCTGTCGTGAATTTAGTAAAACGCTAAATACTTTATCAAAGTTTTAATAATATCGGATGCGTGTGCAAATTTTGAGAAGGCAATTTCCAAGGCAATGGCGTTTGAAGCAGACGATTTTTGCTCGCAGCGGAGATGGGCTTTTCGGGTTGGCCGGACGCGAATGGTGTGACGTCGCCGTGTCATCTGCTGCATGATGCCGCTCAGGCAATTTTTAAAAAAAAACTTACGTCCTTGCGTGGCACAAAACTTAGCGCAAATTATTCTAAAATGTTCCATTATTATGTCAAAAACGATTGCCATTCCGTACATTCCCACAATACTGAAGAAACAATGATTTTCTCACCTTCTCCATGCATTTCTGACCGGAGTTGGAACCTCCGGGCGTTCGCCGCTAGCCGCCGAGAGACGGCGTTCTAGATTGCGCTACTCTACTCAGATCCTCAGCTCTAGCAGCTCTAGTGGCTCTAGTCTACACACAGTCGCCACCACAGGTCGCCACAGTCACCAAAGTCCACAGTGGTGGCACGTTCCTGCGCCTCGCAGGTCTGCACCACGTCTGCGCGCGTTTAAGTACTTTTACGGGACCTTCATCTGCGGCCACTTACCGCTTGCAGCACTTTTTACTGCAGCTCTCGCGACCTTCGAACGACGTGCGTGACAGAAATAGCGTACATGTGGCTGTGACAATGGACAGTGACGTGATTCGTGACGGCCGACTGATTGACATCGTCGACGACAAGTGGCGCGAAGACAAGCTGCCCGACGAAGACATCGCTGTGCCGCTCATGGAGCTCCCCGATCCGGAACCGGACAACAGCAATATCCACGAAACCTTGCGGGAACAAGAGCAGAAGTGGACGGACTTGGCCATGAGTCGCCTGCATGAACCGCTGCCGTCCAACAACGCCAACTAGGAACTGCCCCGTTTTCTCAGCATTATTTGGGCCCCAGTTGAGCATTCCTCGTATCTTTATTTAATAAAATAAGAAGAATGTATTTCTTGCGTGTGCTTTGACTGAGTGGATGAATTCTTCCTGCACGCTTCTGCATGCCGCCATTGTTCTTTTAAATAATTTTACAATTACTTGTTTTTTTTTAAACCTGTACCTGATTCACTGTACATTTTTTGTTGATGGTATAAAGAAGATCTTCAATTTGTATTTTCATAAACATCTCTTTTCATCTGGTTGCTTGAAATGGTTAGCGTTTTCTTATTTTAAAAAAGCCCGGATTTATAACTTTGACGGCGGCGCTGGTGGCGCTGCGGTCGATCTCCCCTGCGAACTTTCTTGGGAGAAGAGCCAGAAGAGCCAATCGCAGACAACCAGAAACATCGGTTACCTTGCTTGAGCATGGCATTTGAAAAAACATTGGAAGGATTTTCCATGAGTAAGAAAAAAGGTTAGCGCTTTGTTACTTTTACCAACTGTGCGTTTTGTGCGACGTTTGGGAACGGAGTCAAAGGTAAGGCGAAAATGCTTTGCAAGCGCTTCGAACGTGGCTTATACAACGCTTCGCGGTGGTGTTCGCAACTTCGAATGTAGCACCACTTCGTTAGGCCTAGTCAAAGGTGACTTCGAAAAAAAAGAAAAAAAAATCCGCTTTGCAACTTTGCTTTTTTGAAGCGCGGAGCAAAATACTCCAGTGACAACCTAACAGTTCGAACTGCGAACAGACTGCTCCACTTTAATATGCGTTTTGCGTTGGCGTCGGAATCCTCTAACGGTTCTGTGTAATTTTTATTTCGGGGTGGGGAGGGCGACGGAAACCTTACAACGAAATCAAGGTCTCGGGCACATCGAGCGTCTGTCAGCATTTGAATGGCCTGAAAAGAAGCCACCAGTGCAAATGCATTTTTGACCCGCCCGTGAACGTGCGAGGTGTTGTGGCTTTGAAAACTCCCGGAAACCGACGGGAAGCATCCGACCCCCGCTACGCTTTCGATTAGGACAACATGACGTTCGCGTCTTCCTCCTGTGAGCTTCGCGTTCCAACGCGCTAACCTAGACTAGCGTCCGTTCCCCTTCGCCGCGCGTTGCACGAAAACAGATAACTGCGTCTAAATACATTTTGTGCCCCCTTGCATTTCCGAAATCGTAGGAAAAGTGGCCGAGGGCTCGTTTTGCGCAGAAGACCTTGGTAACGCGCACATTCCGACTGCGCGTTTTCCTGCGTTCATTTGGCGACTTTTCTTTTTCTTTGCGCGTTGTTTTCTCGGCCCCGCGACAGGCATGGACAGCGGGGATTTATCTCCTCTGGGTGGACTGGAAGGTTCGGACCAAACATGCGGGATGTGCAACGACAATTTCAAGCAGCCTCGAGTCCTGGCATGCCTCCATATTTACTGCGAGGGCTGCCTGGAATCCTGCTTGGACGAAAAGTCAGGAGGTTCTAAGGATTACTCTAACATGACGCTCGAGTGCCCCGACTGCGGCTACGAAACTAAGGTGAGTTCTTGTGCGTGTGCATTTTTTCCCCCCCAAGCGCTCGCAATTAGTGCTTGTCGGCCACATCTGCGCCTCGATCGCGCGACCTCCCAGTGCTGTTGGGCACTGTCTATGCGTAGACTGTCATGAGAGTGACTAGCTTCTCACTGCTTTGAAAGCACTACAAATTTGGCAAAAAGAAAATCAACAACCACATAGAGTTGCTTGTATGTGAACAGTAAGTGGCAAACTAGTCAGCTTAGTCATATTTTTGTGCACATGCCACCCTGCAGTGATCTAAGCTCTGCAAGCAGAGGGTCTTGTTACACGAACTGTTTTAGCTGTTGTTGGGCCAGTGGTGAACCGGCCCCAAATGGGATTCAACTCAACTGAGATGGTGCTATGCGGCTATTTAAGACCCGTGAGACCTAAGCAGAACAAAATCTGGTGTGACATGATCTCTGATTGGTAAAGTTAATTTATTACGGGTGCAGTTTTTCTTGTTAATGGGTGTTTGAAGCAAGATATATATATGGCTTTACTTCTTTTTGGAGTAAAGAAACAACGCTCACGACGAGTGCTGACAGGAGAGACATATGGTTCGATAAAACATAAGAAAGACAATGTGAGGGGGAAAAGGGCGGAAACTAGGAAAGCTGAAGTGGAGAGGAGCGACCTCTTTTCAGACTTTTCTTCTGCACTCCCTTTCCCCCTCGCATGGTCTTATGTTATATCTGTCTATAGTGGACGTCACAACGCCATTGAATGAACGATGAATGGACGACGGCTGCTTGCACGGCCCTCCACAGCCTGCTGGGATCATGAAGGCAACTTCGTTTTCGTAAACATACCCCTTCGCAGAATATATACTGCAGCGATTGTGTCAGGATGCCTCCACATGCATCCGAAACAATGAGTCTGTCACTCATGTTTGTCATTGTTTGCGATGCTGCAGACACCACCATGTTGAGAGCAGAAGTCTGTTCGGTCAACTGCGGCAGGCGAATGCAATTGAGTTTCACTGTCGTTCTTCCATGATTGTTGTCGCTGCTGCGCAGTTACGGGTGATTGTGATTGATCCAACTGTTGGCTCATTGACAGTTCAGAACGCTTGTGTCAAAGGGGTATGACTTTGAGGGGGATTCGTAAATGCAACATATCTGCAGCCTCTGGGGTACCGGAGCACCTGGTAAGGGAAGCACGAGTCCATCAAACATGTTTGTGAGCGTTACAGATAGTGCGACAGTGAAAGTGCCTCCTGGTCAAACCCCAAATCCCTGAAAAGTGGGTACAGTAGTACTGCTTGGGGAGCCTCGATACCATCTGTGACAAGCTGCTAAGCTAATGCCGCAGTAAAATTAGGGAGTCTGTCATTTGCTTGTTAGGTTTTCAATACAAACAGATTGAGTGAGGACAATTAAAAGCAGGGATGGAAGTGTTGTGCCATTTGCACCAAATTGTGCAAAATTGTGCCATGAACAAAAGACTGCCACATCTTTCGCAGTGATGTGATTGCTGTGCCAAACTGCCAAGGAGCTAACCCTGCCACATTTTGCCAAAATATGGGTAATCTGCGCAAACTCTGCGCCAAAGGACATATTTTGGTTGCCTTTCTAAACCAAAACTAAACTGAGTATCGTAGTTGAGCGCGCGTGAGCTAGGTGGCGCAAGCAGCCGCCTGACACAGTGTACCCTGCATCAATCGTTCATCCGGTCTTGCATGGTTTTTCCTGCCACGTCTCGTTCCGCACCCTCATTCCTCGTCGTCTCGCATTTCTTTTTTTCTTTTTTTTTTTTGCTTGCGTCGGGGTGTGTACGGACGCTCCGACGCAAGTTGTAGTTCTCACGTTGTGGTAGTTGTAGTCTACTACAATGTCAGAATTACTACAAAACGTGCTGGGGTATTAGCCATGCCATAATGCTATGAAATGAAACCAAGTTTTTGCGCGGCTGGAGTTAGTTTGCGAGCTGAAGCACTCGCTCCTGAAAGCAACACTTCTGTGTCGAAGTATTGCTTTCCTAGGTTTCTCACTGTGTGCTTTCTTTCGGGAGGTACCCCAGTACCTGAAAAATCTGCCGCGAAAGAAAGTTGAAGAGAAATGAGTTAAAGCAAAGAAGGCAATGTCTGCACGCTGAACCCGCACAGCACGCTTGTTTGTCTCAAGCTCGGTCATTGCACAAAGCGCTTCAAGAACTTTTTGACCTTGACTCGTGATGTCTTGCATCGATGTGCTCAGGTTCTTTTTTTTTTTTTTTTCGGTGTGTTTAGCTTGTATCTCGGCCGCCGGCCTGGCAAGCACGTGCTGCTGGACTGTCTTTTGTCATATGTTGGACAGTGACATTTTGCATACAATTTTGGGAACCAGTTAGCGACGGAGCGGAGTGGCATGGTTCCGATCGAACAGGCATCTCCGCTCGTGCCACAATTTCGCATTGCACTGCAGTAATTACTTGTTTCATCAGTTGGAGACTTTCATTTATTTTATCACTAGTCAACGTAATGCTGTGCAAATTATTCTAAGCTGGTCATTTTCAAATAAATTTTAATATGTGCACTTTGATTCTTATTTACCTATAGTGGGTACATATATACGTATCATTTAACTGAAGCATTGCAAAATGTGTCATGTCATTGGCATTTTAGTTATATGTTGGAAGACTCCCAGGTGGTCTAACTTAAAGGGGCGGTGCAACAATTTGCGGACTTTGACTAATTAATTGCGGGAATTGATCTCGGCCACATATAAAACGAAGGACCGAAAACTATTCTTTCCTGCTTGCTCTAGTTCTCATTAAAAAAAATAAAAGAAATTGGTATCTCTGGCACCCCTCAACTCAACATTGAAGCGGCACCAGCTTCGCCTGTGACGTCATTCGGAGTGGCGTTGGTTTCCGGTTGGGTGCTTCTGGCTTCCGTTTCCCCAGCGCTCGCCGGCTCGCCAGGCTCGCCGCTCTCCCGCCGATTCCCGACCAACATGGCGGCATGGGCGGACGGCCTGAGCGACGTCGAGCGCAACAGGCTTGCGACGCGGCGGGCAGTCGAAGTCGAAGTCGAGGTCGAGACACCAGGAACAATAACGATACCACGATACTACGGACCACGAACAACGCACTCCGTTGAGCGAGGGAAAGACAAAACGTTGCTCGTGTAGGCGCCTCGGGCGTCGACGGATAACGGCGACGGCAGGTTTTGTTGACTTGCGGTAGATGGCGCCACAAATAATTCATACCCTTTTAGCGGCAATATTATGCTTTTGAAGCGTTTCTGCATGCCTAAACAACAAGATTTTTTAAACTTAACCTTAAATCAAGCTTACAATTGCCTAACACTATCACTTACAAAAACCACTCCGAATGACGTCACATCACAGGTTCCATTTGCGGCCACCATGTGGCCGCAGGTTGGGAAAAAAAGCGTTTTTTATTTTACGATTACGCATCGAAATAGAGGTATTTTGGGGTATGGTGGTACTTTTTCTCTTACTTATGCCGAAGTAAAAAATATAAAAAATACAAGCTGCACATTCGTTCAGTGTTAAAATCATTGCACCGCCCCTTTAACAATATTTTGTTTATTGCGGCAGGCAAAGTGTCTTTGGTTTGTCCAACGCTTGAAACAAATATTTTTATTTTTTCTAAGGATATCTGCTGGTGAAGGCACTTTTTCTGCTCCGAAACACTGTTTTAACTGCTCCAAAGGCCACTTTTGCTGCTCCAAAACACTGTTGTGGCTGCTCCAAAGGCCACTTTTTCTGCTACAAAACACTGTTTTGGCTGCTCCAAAAGGTGCTCCAAAACGGCTTTGGCCAATCACATCACTGCTTGCGCCAAAATACAATTTTTTTTTGCTGAGAATTGTGCCACACGTGCGCCAAATAAACTTCAACAAATTAAAAAAAAAGATTATTTATAGACCCTAATATTTAGACAAGTAGGAGGAAAGAAAAATTGTACAAATATGTATTTTTCCCAACATCTCTACTTACTGCACAGTTTTTTTCATCTTAGGTCAGAGCAAGTGCATTTCACATGCAGAGAGCAAAACTGAAAAGAGAGAAAGGCGTGTTCGCACTTGCAACCGAGTAGGGTCGACCGAGACAAGACCGGTTTTTAAGCCTTTGGCGACAGCTTAGGACTGGGTGCTCTGCTGCGGAGCAAGTCGTGACTTGCAACAAGAGGCTTAGAAGCTGTCCTACTCAGTTGCAAGTTTGTGAATGGGCCTTAATCCTGCTTTTGCTGGACACCCTGTTATTGTTGGTGCAGTCTTGGGTTTGCAGGTACTGAGACCTGTTTTAGCCAAAAAGCTTTTCCAGCTGAATTTGAAGATGTTTGAGCAACAGATAGTCGAACGACGAGTTCATTGGGAAGTGGTTTTGGCATCGGTTGCGGAAGTCGGGAATGCCGCGAGCACAGCCTGTGCCTTTCTCAAAGAGGGTTAATAAACCCCATCGCAGAGATAAGGAGTGCAAGGGACGCGAGTCAGGCCGAGATTCACAAGGCTGCCGGCTTGATAAGTGAACTTCTCCATCTTGTCGCGGTTTCTGTGTGAAAGAGATTGTGATTACTGAGCGGAGGCACTAAGAGCCACAATGTTTGTCGCCGCTCCCTGGTCGGAAGGGAAAACGTTGAGAACGGTAAGAAGCCAATGAAGGCATGGAAGTGCCTACGCACTGACTTTTCTGTCTACGCAACATTTTAACCTGCACTAGGTTTGCTTCCTTGCAACTGGAGCATGCAAAGTCTGAAACGGTGCAATATTGTGACTGAGGTTATATTTGCGGGCTATATTTGGCACATTTTTCTCATGTTGCTTTTTGGAATATTGCCGGGCGGAAATGTCGCGATCGGGCTGGAACTGACCAACTGGCTGTTGCCTGAAATTAAAATATTGCACAAGCTTACCTTGTTCGCAATAATTGTGGCTAATTTGTTTGTGTACCTTCCATACAAGTGGTTCTCAAACTGCTTCCTTAACCCTTAAATGCCACTTTTTTTTTTTTTTTTAAAAAGCAACCTAATAA